AATCTCGAAAAATACCCATTTATTGATAAGTAAAAACACAGTTATTTTGTTCAGCGAAGAAATTTCTTTTCAACGACTTCATTTTCAAGCCAACTCTACAGTCGTATTTATATTACAGAAAAAGGTTATTAAGTGGCACTAAATAATTGCTCAGTCAATGTACGTATATATGTGATAAAAGTTATAAGGGGTAGAGTTGAAGTGGATAAATTACAAAAATATTAAAGATTGTTCTATAACAAAAATATCAAGTGTTGTCTAAAAATTATGAAAATTAGGAGTACCATTACGATAAGAATGAAGATGTGAAGTGAAGTGGAAAGAATTCAAGTGGTAAAATAAAATAAAATAAAAACTAGAAAGAACATTATTATGACCAAGGTGAAGAAAGGGGTTTGACCAAACGCTTTTGAACACATAATTTAGGTTTCTGTTCATGTATAGCTAAAGCTTCGGCTATGCATAAGTGAAGAAAACGTAAACTTTTGGATCGATTCGATTTTGCCATGTAGATAACTTTGAAAGATGAATCACGTGGGGCTAAATGACCAGACTCTAACAGGTGATCACAAATAGACGACTTCGCAGTTCTACTTTCGCCTTTCATTAACCAAACCGTATAGTGTTCAGCTACACGTTTTCGGAGATTACGCTTACAACGTCCAATATAATCAGCTCCACAAGAGCGGGTAAATGAGTAAATGCAAATAGATGTGGACAAAAGCGGTAATCTATCCTTGACGCATTGTCTGATCATATTTCGGCTGGTAAAAACTAGTTGCAGGTCAGCTGAAGGAAAAGTACGTTTAACGCATTTAGATAAACGGTTTTTAATCAATTCCGAAATGGTGTCACCTTTGAATGCAAGACTCATAAACAGCTTTTTCTTTGGCACTGTGACTTGTCTCGGGGCGGATTCTTTCTTGATGTTACGTTCAATGAACCTTGTAGGATAACCATTGTTAAGGAGATTTGATTGAAGGTTATCTAGTTCCCTATCGATTGTCTCTGCAGAGCAGATTTTACGAATCATGGAGCATAAGGAATGAATAAGATTTCTCTTTCTCCCTAAAGGTACCCAACTGTTGAAGTTAGTGTACTGCCCCCCAGTGAATGTTGGCTTTCCGTAAATCGACCTTGACAGCGTTCCATTCTCTCTTCTATCTAGCTTAACATCAAGAAAGTGAAAAGAGGAATTCGACTCTTCTTCGACCGTGAAAAGCAAAGATGGGTGATAAGCATTAAATATTCCAAGAAGTTCGGCAGTTGAAGTGTTTTCATCCCATACAATGAAGGTATCATCAATATATCTTTTATACATAAACAAACTGTCGATGATTTCCTTTAACGAAAACTCTTCAACTACCGAACTTCTTGGAATATTTAATGCTTATCACCCATCTTTGCTTTTCACGGTCGAAGAAGAGTCGAATTCCTCTTTTCACTTTCTTGATGTTAAGCTAGATAGAAGAGAGAATGGAACGCTGTCAAGGTCGATTTACGGAAAGCCAACATTCACTGGGGGGCAGTACACTAACTTCAACAGTTGGGTACCTTTAGGGAGAAAGAGAAATCTTATTCATTCCTTATGCTCCATGATTCGTAAAATCTGCTCTGCAGAGACAATCGATAGGGAACTAGATAACCTTCAATCAAATCTCCTTAACAATGGTTATCCTACAAGGTTCATTGAACGTAACATCAAGAAAGAATCCGCCCCGAGACAAGTCACAGTGCCAAAGAAAAAGCTGTTTATGAGTCTTGCATTCAAAGGTGACACCATTTCGGAATTGATTAAAAACCGTTTATCTAAATGCGTTAAACGTACTTTTCCTTCAGCTGACCTGCAACTAGTTTTTACCAGCCGAAATATGATCAGACAATGCGTCAAGGATAGATTACCGCTTTTGTCCACATCTATTTGCATTTACTCATTTACCCGCTCTTGTGGAGCTGATTATATTGGACGTTGTAAGCGTAATCTCCGAAAACGTGTAGCTGAACACTATACGGTTTGGTTAATGAAAGGCGAAAGTAGAACTGCGAAGTCGTCTATTTGTGATCACCTGTTAGAGTCTGGTCATTTAGCCCCACGTGATTCATCTTTCAAAGTTATCTACATGGCAAAATCGAATCGATCCAAAAGTTTACGTTTTCTTCACTTATGCATAGCCGAAGCTTTAGCTATACATGAACAGAAACCTAAATTATGTGTTCAAAAGCGTTTGGTCAAACCCCTTTCTTCACCTTGGTCATAATAATGTTCTTTCTAGTTTTTATTTTATTTTATTTTACCACTTGAATTCTTTCCACTTCACTTCACATCTTCATTCTTATCGTAATGGTACTCCTAATTTTCATAATTTTTAGACAACACTTGATATTTTTGTTATAGAACAATCTTTAATATTTTTGTAATTTATCCACTTCAACTCTACCCCTTATAACTTTTATCACATATATACGTACATTGACTGAGCAATTATTTAGTGCCACTTAATAACCTTTTTCTGTAATATAAATACGACTGTAGAGTTGGCTTGAAAATGAAGTCGTTGAAAAGAAATTTCTTCGCTGAACAAAATAACTGTGTTTTTACTTATAAATAAATCTTATCCACAATGGAATTATATATACTCTACCACAGTGCCCAAGTTCTGTCCTCCTATTCAGGATTGTGCTTATCGAAGAAGACTTGATACAACTAATACCTACTTTTGTACTGATGAAATATGATGATCTGAAGTCTAAATATTTGCTGGAGTGTGTTTTTTCTTGAATACAGATTGCATATTGGATCGGATCCCAGTGGCCTAATGATCTACAAGCTAACTCGCCTTGTAATCAGAAGGCCCTGAATTCGAACACCTGTGGTGGATGCGTACTGCCTCATGATGAAATCCTCCAACTGATCAAACTAGAAAAAAACCCTACTAAAACACATTATTATTATCGTTATTTTCAACCTTGAACTAATGTCTAGTCCACGCCATTCGTTAGCTTTTCTTCTGTAGTGCATTGGTGGTACAGTGTTTATGAGTCTCGCCGATTATATACACGGTCCGGGGTTCGACCACTTGCCGACGCACACCTGATATCTATAGTCGGCCTGCAGGATTTTGGGCTACCGAAGTCACATGCTGAAAATTCCATACCTGTACAGAAAAATACGGTGTGGAATCAAGTTGTAATAAAAAATTCAAAAAATTTTGTTTCACACACTGATTACATTCATTCCCGAATGCTGTACTTTTGTTAATTGTATATATACATACACACATCATTAATTTAAGTGTTGGTTTGTAGGGATTTGATTGGATTCAGGATTTCATGATGAGCTGACATTAGTTAGAGAACCATTGGAAAACCTGGGAGTACTGGACAACCGTTTCTTCCTAGTGTGGGACTCTTCATCGGCACGCACCCACTGGGCTGGCCTTATTCAGGTAGGTAGTTACCTGGGTTCCAGTGGGAAGTCGTGACCAGTAGGGTGCAGCGGGTCGGTGTGAGGACAAATACTCGCCGAAGACATTGGCTAGCGGTCACGCTATGTCGTGAATTGGCAGAAGTTAGAATTCAAGGACCATTGGATCGGGTCCCAGTGGCTTGATTGTATACGAGCTCGCCTTGTAACCAGAAGGTCCTGGGTTCGAACCTCCTGTGGTGGGTGCGTACTGATGAAGAGTCCCAAACTAACACGAAACAGCTGTCCAGTACTCCCAGGTTTTCCAATGGTTCTCTAACTAATGTCAGCTCATGATGAAATCCTGAAACACATCATTAAATTATTTCATCTAAATCATCTGTTCTCATTGACCATGCATATAAAAAGAACTAACTGACTATTGTGAAATGGGAGACACTGGTGATGATTAGTAATAATAGATTCGTAGAATGTGGGGTAGGAAAATTCACAAGTTAGTCAGTTCAAGGTTATAAAGTGTGTCAGGTAAATGAGTGGCTAGTACACAGTGGTATGTATCAAACAGAAGGAGAAAGTGAGACTGCAATGACAGGTTCAACAGGGGGAAACTAACTGCATAAAAAGCTAGATCATGTCACATTTGGTCGATAACGGACATAGCATCGACGTCAATACAGTTATTATTATTATTATTCGTCATAATTTATGCCCTTTATGCAAACATTCTCTCAATACTGTCGAATTTTCCATTTATACTATCTCGACTTACTATTATTAGTGATATTATCTCTTTTCTCAATGTATGCCTCCACCTGTTTCATTTCACATATTCGTTATCTCACTATGAACCTCTCATTTCAGTCTTACTATCTCCTGTTTAACTCAGACCACTTTGTACTAGCCACTCATTCACCTGACACCTTTTATAACCTTGAACTGACTTGTCAATCGTTTTCCTACCCCACACTCTACAATTCTATTATGATTAATCACCACCATTGTCTCCCGTTTTACAATATTTTGGTAATCGATTTCAGCCTAGCACGTTTGTCACACAAACACGACTATTTATTTTGACACCCAATAACTACTAATCTGTTATTCTACGTTAAAAAGTGTATCCGCCACATAACTGGCTATCGTTATTATAACGACCACAAATATTATATTTTATAATTGTAAGAATCTGAAGAGGAGAAATTATTGAAAAGAATATTTTTCGTTCAGATTGACTTTTAATTCATAATATAGGAATATTTCCCACGATGAAATCTTTTTCTGATTATTCTTAAATCGTTAATGTAACTCTGTGTGTTTTAATTGACCTTTATTTTTCTCGTGTAAACTGAATTGACAAGTGAATGTGGAAGGGATAAGATTGTTGTTCGAAATGTATATTGCACTCAGATATATCACACCAGATTTTTGAGATAATCATCGCCTTGTAATATCACTCACTATCCAAGGATTCATTAAATCCTGTTTTACTGCCCCTTGTGGCTAGCTGTGAATGTGTATAGTAAAAAGAAATATATTTGCAAAAATTTTCTTTCTTCTTCATTTTTTAAACACTTACCTGATCTAAAAATAATGCATTCATCAGTGAATCCATTGCACCAGAGATTGTCAACTCTCCACGTAAACCCAAACGTAATTCACGAAGTGATCGACGGATTTCATTAATTAAAATATTCATTCGTTCACATTCTTGTAATACAACTACAGTGTATGGACCACGCTCCTCTGGTGCTTGTCTAGCATACAATTCATTCATAGGAAATCCATCCGATAGACGATCTAGTAAATCTTCTATAAGACTATTCAATGTTTCTTCACGACTTGGTGCATCACTGACATCCGTTCCACTGTCACGTGGTTGCAGTTCAAGGACAACACGGAATACACGTTCAGCTGATTTCGTTAAAAATTCAATCTCTGCATTTGGATGTAAACCGTATAGGTAAGGCGATTCAGGCGGTAAATACTTATCAATATAGGCATGATAACCAGCATAGTCTGAATTTGGTGGGACAAGAAATCCAGGCGATAGATAGAGATCACCATCAACCTAGAATTAGATGAAAGTAGAATTTTATACATCTCATCCAACAGTTATACAACAATGCTACATACCAAGAAAATCCACAACCGGAAACTTACGGAATCCTTCGAAGTGAGTACGGGAGTAAGGCAAGGATGTTTACTATCGTCAATGATTTTCCTGATTGCAGTAGATTGGATAATGCGAAAGACAGCGGGAAATGAGGAAACAGGCATAAAATGGACGCAAACAAAAGTCAAGTAGTCATTCCATGGTAGGCAAAGGCTGAAGTCTATTGTTCTTTTTTGTATGCATAGTTTAAGATGTATGTGAATAATCCACAAAGGGCTTCCATCACCTTCAATAACCAACCTTGAATTAGAGTTATGCAATGAAATAATTATGAAGCAGTCATTAATATTGATTTTGTGATCTGGCATTAATAATTGCTTTGCAATGGATAACGCTGATGGATTTCTATTCAGATTAATTGTACTGGGTTTTTTTTGTGTGTTTTAATAACCACTTTGGAACATGTTCATTTTGACGACCACATTCGAACATTCTATTGGTTCTACGTATATGGGTGCCACCGCAACTGTAGGTTTAGCCTGTAGATGTTGTTCGACGTAGAGGTCACAGAATGTCGTCCTTTAATCGTAGGTAAAGAGATAGAAAATGTTCGGTATGTGAGGGAAAGAGATACTGTGTAGAATGTGAACCTGATGACTGACCAAGGTCTTTGGGCTGTCAACTGCATAATTTGATCACCCTGAAATGGTGGGTAGGTCAATAAATGTAGCTTTCTTTGGTACAATAGCTGTCTTCTCAAAATTTGGTCTATCCTTACTGTGACAACTGATAAAGTTTTCTGGATGATCGTTACCTAATAAAACTGAATGTATATGTCAAAGCTCATCCATCAATGTGTCGCTCGTGCATATTCTATGAGGCCTTGGAGACAAACATTTCCCTAAGCGACGTTTATACTGGATAGGAACAGAACTAGTGAAATGAAGATATTGTCCACACCATGTCTGTTTACGAAATATAGATCGCTTAATCGTTCTATCGTTTCTCCTGATCATTGAAATATCCATAATACTGAGTTTGTTTCAAAATTTTCACTAATACTAACTGAGTTATTATTAAATAAATTATAATTATATTTCAATAGTTTACACGCAATGCTATTATTATTCATCATATAATGACCGATTTTTTTATTCGCCTACGCCTAATTATATTAACATCCAATCAGAATTAAGTATTCTTCGCGGCATGACCATATAGGCTGTAAGTGACAGCCAATCAGGATTAAGTATATAGCCTAGATGGCGGGGTGTATAGCTATTATGATTCGTTGATTAAGAAGACAATTGCAGCGAAGAAAATTTTCTTTTCGACGAAGTCATCATCTAGGCTGTACATTCGTGTATTTATATCAAATGGATAGGAAAGTTCCAGAATAATATCCGGTCAAGGGTAAAATTAGTAAAAATTAAAATTAGGAATTAGAATGCCATAATAAACAGGGGGATGGATAAAACAAACAAAGTAGCATCATGATAGCTAATAAGATTGACATTGTGCAATTAGAGGTTAGAAATGTAGAAATGACAAAATAGACAGGATGTTTGGATAAGAACTAATGTGATGAATAATTGTTTATGCAATCAGGGATTAAATGTGTGGAAATAGTAGAATGACAAAATAAACACGAAGTTCGGGTATGAAAATATGGTAGTGTGAACAGGTATTAAGAAAAACTTAAAATAGCATGAATAAACAGGAAGTTTAGGTAAGAAAGGCGATGGGATGGTCATTACTAAAAGAATTACCTGTTTATGATGGCCATGGCAGGGACAGGGATTGGACGTATTTCTTTTGGATACAAAGCGTGGGTTTGAGCTTTTGTATAGCTAGCGCTTCGGCTATTCCCAGATGTCTTGATTTCACTCCCTTTGATAGGTTTGATTGAATATTGATTGTATACTATTTTGAAGGGTTTTTCGAAAGGCACTGAATGTCCTGAATTGACCAGATGTTCTGTCTCTGAACTGTATACATGCTTTTGGTCTCCTTTTACTAACCAGGCTGGGTAGTGTTCACGAGCGCGTTTTTCAAGTCGGTACATGGTACGGCCAACGTACTCAGCTCCACAAGAGAGAGTAAATTGGTATATGCACTTTGAGGTGGCCCAATGCGACGACTTGTCTTTCGCGTTCTGGCTGAATAGTTTCTTGCAGGATTACGTCGGTCGTAGGCTCGCGGCGAAGTATGTTTTCCTTAGCGATTTGGAGAGGCGTTTGCGAAGGATTTCTGCTTCAATATCACCTTTGAATTCTAGATTAAGCAGAAGTATTTTCTTTGGAACGGAATGGACTTGTTCGGAAGTCTTCTTACATTTGAGATTCTTGTCTATGAATCTTGGCGGGAAACCGTTTTCCATCAGGGTTTTTCGAAGATTACGTTGATTACAGCTAGTGTAATTTGTATATCCCTATTATTTATTCAGAACAACACTAATTAGAGAGAATAGAAGTTTCCAACGAATTCTTCTCAAGGCTCTACAATTATAAATCAATCCATTAGTGTGTAAGCCCGACAACAGCCACTGGCAAAGGCAAATTAGAACTACATCATAAAGTGTATTTTGTTGAACAAGTATGAGGTGGAATAATAACGATTTAGTTTTAATTATCAATTATAATAGTAGATCAGAGGAAAAAAAATCGTAAAAGATGATTGCAGCGAAGCAACTTTTCGTCTCAGCGAAAACATAAACAACTAGATAGCTATACATTCTTATATATATATATATATATATATATATATATATATTACCTTGAAGAATTTTTCGAAAGGCACTGAATGTCCTGAATTGACCAGATGTTCTGCCACTGAACTGTTTAAACGCATTTGGTCTCCTTTTACTAACCAGGCTGGGTAGTGTTCACGAGCGCATTTTTCAAAAACGTCAGTTTTAGGCTTGCGGCGAGGTATGTTTTCCTCAGCGACGTTTTCCTGCAAGAAACTATTCAGCCAGAACGCGAAAGACAAGTCGTCGCATTGGGCCACCTCAAAGTGCATATACCAATTTACTCTCTCTTGTGGAGCTGAGTACGTTGGCCGTACCATGCGCCGACTTGAAAAACGCGCTCGTGAACACTACCCGGTCTGGTTAGTAAAAGGAAACCAAAAGCGTGTATACAGTTCAGTGACAGAACATCTGGTAAATTCAGGACATTCAGTGCCTTTCGAAAAATCCTTCAATGTAATATATATATATATATATATATATATATATATATATAGTTTATTTCCGGTTGACGGCGAATTTTGGTGAGAGCTGTCTGCTACCCAAAAATGGTTTACAGCAATTTACGTCAATGTTTACGTCCCAAATCTTGGTCATGAGAGTAGAACAAGAACAAAGACTAACTCAACAGCCAATCACAGCAGACCTTGCGTGGGCGGATACAATTCGTAGATGTATGGTCTGACCTTCAGGGAAATAGCCACAGAGAGATGATAGAAGAACTTTCAGCGAGAAGACAACCAATTAGAAGACGCCGTTTCTCTACTACTAATAATAATGATAACGTCGGTGGCATAGCGGTTAGGACGCTTGCCGACCATGCACATGGTCCGGGGTTCAATCCTCGGCCACAGACGCACTCCTTTACCTTGCTAAGCCAGAAATAATGCTGGTAAAGAGAAAAGGTTGGGCATGAGGCTAGCAACCCCATCCTGTAAAAACTAAACACTGCTACAGAAACTTCAAGCCAATAGCTTGGAGCCCTGTGTTCCACTGGGGAACGGGAAGGAAAAAAAAGAAGACGCTGTTTCTCTACTAATAATAATGATAACGAATAATAATGTACATAAAAATATATAAATATCTGTTAATTTCTTCAATAAATGATGTGTTGCCTGACCCTTATCTTCTGTTGTTTCAAAGTTATGACAAATGACAAGATTACAAACAGGGATTAAAACGGTGGTAATCACGAAAATGGACAGAAAATGTAGTCAGATAATCGTCATTGAAGAAAATAACCGTTTACGATTGCATAGGTAAAGACAAATGTTGTGAGGGGGAGGTATTTCTCCTGAATACACATAGCGTTGACTTGAATTTTTGGATAGCTAGTACCTAAGCTATGCTCAGATGCCTTGATGTTACTTCTTTTGAGTAGTTTGTTGAGGTTTTGTACAAAGCTTTGAGGGACTTTCAAATTGGAGCTGAGTGTCCTGAATTCATTCATCTTGTTATGTATTCACCTGTGTTCTTCACTGACGGGAGATATTTCTGGAACTTTCGAACAGCTTTATTACACATATGTGTGTATATATACGAACGTACAGCCTAGTTGATGACATCGTTGAAACAAAAATTCTCTTCTCTACAACGATCTTTTCAATTTCTGCTATCATCTGAAAAATGTCTGTGTGTGTGAGTGTGGTCAATAAGAAAATGAGATAAAATGAAATGAAATAATTCAATGATGTATTTTTGTTAGATAGATCACTGAAAACCAGGGAGAGCATTAGGAGGCTGTTTTGTCTTGCCTTTGGACTCTTCAGTGCTGTTCACTTACGACCCCATAGTCGTGGATCGAACTCAGGACCTTCTGGTTACGAGACCATTCAGACATTTTTCGGTTGGAATTAAATCACTTCTAAATTCTAACGTTGTAAACTCATCATTTACTATAACTGTTATTTGTAACCCTTGAACTTACGTCTGGAGTATCCCACTTGTTGGTATGCATATTGTCTCCCAATTAATACCGTTCTCTGAGCTCGTTGGTTTACTTGCGGAGCTTTCATCGTCAACCCTTCTGGACAACATCCCCCTTCAGCGCAATTTTTAGCATAAAGTGAAATAATTTAAATTTCTTCATGAGTGATAGAATTGCGTCTACCAGTAACCATCTTTACATATGTATTTATCATTTTCTATTGACTTGGATTGTAAACTTTCTGGTCACATGATTTACACTTTTTATTAGTTGGTATATTTGGTCTATATATTAACGTGTTTGTTCATCGCTGGCTGATTCGTTTGAGTACCAGGCTTCTAGGAATTCCCTGACTGCATTTTTGATGTTTCCTCTGTCTAAGATTTCGACGTTATCGCAATCAAACTGATGTCCATAATTGTCTATATGCATTAATATGAAAGAATATATATATATATAAATCATGTCTTTTCACGGCTGATTTGTGTTCCTGGATTCTGATTCGAAGAAGACGCCCACTTTGGCCGATGTAATGCCCGTTACAGTTTATACAACTTATTTTGTAAATGGTATTAATTTTATCTCCTTTTTCTGTTGGATCTTTCGGTTTGCACAATATTGAATTAAGTGATTTGACTGGCTTGTATGCTGTATCTATATCAAACGATTTAAGTATTCTAGCTGTTATTTCAGAGATATTTTTCATGTATGGTAGGATGCATTTCCTTTTGTTCTTTGATGATGGCTCATTGTTGGTGTAGTGATTCGATTTTAAACACTTTTTGATGAAATTTTGTGGATAACCATTATTTTTGAAGACCATTTGTAGGTATTTTTGTCTTCCATTCTTTTCAACTCTGGAGTGCTACAACAGTGTGTTTGAAGTCTTCTAAACAATGTCTGCACACAGTTTCTCTTGTGAGTAATTGGATTATTGCTAGTATGGTTGAGTATTTGATCTGTGTGCGTTGATTTTCAATATACTTGTGTTTCTAAATTTCCTGTGTTGTTTCTCCTGATTAAGACATCCATAAATAGGATTTTGTTATGTAATTCTTCTTCTCTTGTGAATTTGATGTCTTCAAATATGTTGTTTATTAATTTATAGGTATATTCCAAATCATTTTTCTCAATTATTACAAGTGTATTATCAACGTAATGTACCCAGATTTTCGGTTTAATTATAGGTAGAGCTGTTCATTCTGATTTTTATATGACGGCTTCCGGTATTGCTCCTGATATGGGTGATCCCACTGGTGTTCTTTTTATTTGTTCATATATATATATATATATATATATATATATATATATATATATATATATATATATATATATATATATATATATATATATATATATATATATATTCATATTGTCTCTCACACCAATGAGACTACATTCAACCCTTAAAACTTGTGCCTTCTGTTGGCTTCATTTCACTCGATCTCATCTTCTTTCTGACTGCACATATTCTAGATGAAAATCAAAACTAACGGACTGTTGTTCCCTCTTGTACTCATACCATGCAATCCACTTTCTGATATAATTCTAATTTGCCTTTACTGACTGCTGTGAATATATTGCTGAAATTAATGAATTTATGATTTTGGAGCACGAAGAAGAATTCTGCTGAAACCACAGTTTTTTCCTGGAGTCCTAGTGAGAAATTGTGACTAGTGAGGTCCAACCGGCCAAGTGTGAGGATGGATTTCCCACCGATGACATTGGTTGGTGGTCACGTTAAATCACGAATTGGTAGAAGTTAGAATTCATGAGCAGGCCACCGAATTGGGTCCCAGTAGCTGAATGGTATACGAACTAGCTTCCCTTGTAACCGGAAGGTCCTGCGTTCGAACCCTGTCAGCGGGTGCGTAGTGCTGGTGATTCCAAACCAGGATGAAACAGCTGGCTGTCTACTAATCCCTCACTGTTTTCACTGGTCTGTCTGTCTGTCTGGATTCAACATAGAACTTAGCACCGAAGTGCAGCACTTCGAGTTACCACGTTCCAAATAGCACACAAAGGTAGACAAGATGAGTGGAGAGAATTAATAGTTTCACAAGTATAAGAGTGAAACAGAATGGGTAATGGTAGAAAGGAATATGAAAGATTACAGAGACTGAATACATCTTCGCCATTGACAGCGACTTTGAGCCATATCACCTATTGTCTCCAGCCATTGATTCCTAGAGTCCCGGGGCCTCAACCCGGAAGTCTGCATCTCCCTACCCGACTCCAGTTCAACTGTCAATGATTTCATGGATTGATGAGGCCATGTTTTTGTTTGGCCACCACTTACTCTTTTCAACCCGCACTTATATCAGCTAGTAATGCTCGTCGGGGGAGGCGATGGTTAGGCATGCGCACCACGTGACCTAGCCACATCAATCTATGTAACTTTATAGCCTCGTCGATTGATTTTCCCTCTTTGCCCAACACTCTACGCCTAACGTCAACATTACTTACCTTATTAAACCACCTAACGTGAGAAAGAGATCGCTAGTTTACTGATTCTGTAATTGATATCACCCCGTGGTCACACTCGTTAAAAAAACAAATCAAACTCTTGAAAATTTCGATTATCTTTTTGTAACTTACTAAATCAGGTTGTAAATATTCTTGTAAAAATGTTCTACATAATCGTCTATCCCAATCATCAGTTATATGCCCACCATACATAATTTCACCAAATAAATATCTCAAATCTTCCCATGGTACTTTATTATTTGCTTCTAAATAATTATATAACACATCTAAACAAATACACAAATCTCCAACATTGAATGGATATGTACGATTCCAACCTTGTGAACCAAATTTACTACGTTCGGTAACCACGGCATGAAAATAACATAGAGCAAATAAAATCGGTTTGAATTCTGCTTCTTTTGTACAACGTTCAAGTGTTTCCTGTACACATATATTTATTTCAAACAAGAAAAATAACAAAACAAAAAGAAAACAATAGAGTTCACTAATCCCATTTGTTTCAATGAATTAACTGGTCGGTTTCCAATGGAAACCATTGTTTACACTAAAAGTAAACAATTTATAAAGTACTAATTAGCTTCAAAATAATATTACCATAAACTGCACAGTTAACAGGCCATTGACTGACTGACTGAGATTTCTACGTAGAACTTTGGGCAAAGTTTTACAATAGCATCTTAAGGGATGCAAACGCACAAGTGACCTTTAGACGACCAATCAGAAAATAGGAGAATTTTTGCATAAAATTTTACGCATATATACACAAAAAAGCATGAAAAAAAACATTTTACAGGGTATTTTTGTCTAATATGAGATAAAAAGGTCTCCCAACTATATTGAGGAGTTTCAGTGTTTAAACTTAACCAATTTCTATACATATATTCATCCAGATGACTAAAATTAACTTGGTTTTGAGAGGCGTTTAAAGCTGTGATTCTATTTTTTAGTCTTCCCCAGAAACTTTCGATTGAATTAAGCATGAGTACGAGTTATGGGATCGACAAAGTTATCCGAATGGTTGACTCGATGATGTATATATCCAAAATCCGATAATCGATTATATCCTGCCCATCCATCAGTGTGAATGGTAGGGCCTGGCAACACCAGCCTTTGAATAATAGGGAGGAGTGTATCAGCACTCCTATCTGGAATAAGTTCGATGAATCCTTTCCGAATCTGGGTGTCGTAAATTGCCAGAACTCAAACGTTATTTGCCCTAGCACGTCCCCGATTGTACTTCTTCTTTATAAGCACTGTTGCGTCGATATGAAACACAACACTGACTCCTTCCAGCACTTGAGTAACACTATTCATTTTCCACGACGCTATATATCGACAAAACTGGAACCATTGCACAGTAAACGTTAACGTATTATCTGTTTGAGCCTCATTTGGCCTCACCCCGGACTTTAAAATCCAGTAATGGCACAGAAACAGGATATTGGTCAACGAAAGTTTCGATTTTTTCAAAGAAAGTTCCTAAAAGACAATTAACTGAGAGTGTCACTTACCAGTACGAACGCTAGTTCGCTTCCTAAACTGTGTACATCTAAATATATATCCATCAATGACCTGGGTATACGGCTGCAGGTTCATAGTATGACCACAATTACATATCCGATACGTCCTATTAATCCATTATCTAGGCAGTATTGAAATACGTGATCTGGGTGAAATTTGCATCGGAACAGATGAACAGGGTTCATTTTCGGGCTAGAATAATGGTAGGTTTCCTCAACCAACGACTAGCAATCGTTCAACGTCATTTGAGCGTTCGCACTCCTGGGACGCTATTCTTGAACTTCGCCGAACTTTGTACAGAAGTGTAGACCTTCAACTTGTTGTCCTTCATATAACATTTAAACGTAGATAAGAAGAAACATCCAAGGGAGACGAAATAACTAAATACAGGAACATGATATTTCAATAGATCTGAGATGTCATAAAGAATGAATGCATCTGGGCTCTTTCACCTACAGTCTCAAATAACTGGTTCTTAGCTAGTTGAAGAACACAAACAAGCTAACATTGCTTGATAATGAAGGCTGGACATATGTAACACATATTCTAGCCATTTCGATTGAAAACAAAACACGTAGTTCAACGAAGAGTCTCTTTTTGGAGAATTCATTTTCTTATCTTCTTTGGGTAGAGTTGCGTAATGCGAAAACGGTCCGGAAAATTAGGTGTTGATGCAACTAGTGTAGTGGCAGTAGCAAAAGGTGATAAGTTGTGAAAAACGGTTGTTAAAAAGGAGTTACGTAATAATATGAAGAGTTTGATGATTGAATTGTGCTCAGGATAAACATAGGAACAAAGTAGAGAATACGAAATTACGTAAGAGTTATAAATGAATACAAGAATTATAAGCAATTAACGAAACACACAATTAAACAAAGTTATAGCGAAAATATTCATTCAGATATCTATAAAACACAAAATGATTGAGCAAAGAATATCCTTTTCGATAAATTCCTCTTCTGGCTCTACAATTATATGTGCATGTTTATATACACAGAATATTCTAGATTAGTAGTTAATAACAATATTAGTGTTTTTTAAATTATATCGATCCGTTAAATAAGATCAATGGAATTATCACAGATCATTAAAGATGCTTAAATTATAATGATAATAAAGATATAGTAGCAAATAGAATATTAGCTAAAATTAGGAAAATTCCACAAAAAGTCAGGATTATTCAAACCTAGATGACCAAGGTAAAGACTAACTTCATTTGGATGCATAAATTAGGCTTGTTAATATGGATCCCCACAGCCTCAGCAATATTTAGCAATCGAACTCTTAAGGCGAAATTGAGATTCGCCGGCATGCGTAAATGACCCTGAAAGCCTGGTTAACATCAATCTTGTGTTCTGTATTCACAAGATGAGATAGAATAGCGCTGCGAATAGATTTTGTTTGTCGTTTACTTAACCACACTGGATGATATTTGGAAATCCGACGAGGAACAAGCCTAATTGTACGGCCTATGTAACTGGCTCCACAGGAGCAGTTAAATTGGTAGATGATACACATGGAAGAGGCGAATCGGTATTATTTAAAAAAAACACTCATATTGTCATCGACTACTAATCTAGAATATTCTATGTATATAAACATGTATGTATATGTATATAGTTGTAGAGCCAGAAGAGGATTTTATCGAAAACAAAATTATGTCATCGAAAATCAACAAAGTTTTTTCCATGATAATAGAAGTGGCTGAGTAATTCTCTTTCATAGGCACAGCTCCAGTTTTTCTATGTGAATGGCGAGAGCTTCAGCGATACAAAAAGAACGAAACTGTATTGCCTTTGGTAAGTTATTCTTGACTCTGTAGATTACTTTGTAGCAGGAGGCGTTTGTTGTTGAGATAAGATGATCAATGTTAACCAGGTTTTCAATTATCGCACTCCTTATAGCACCAATATTGCCTTTTCGCAACCATGCTGGTTAGTGTTCTTGAATCCTCTTGGACATAGTGCACCTCGAACTACCGATTTACTTGGCTCCACAGCAGCAGGTGAACTGATATATGCACATAGAAGTGGTCAGATGCGGGGTGTTGTCCTTGAGGCTTCTGAAGATCAGTGGGCGACTGGAGAACACTATTCTTGGCAATACTGCAAAGAATAATCTTCTCATAGATGATATGATCCTTCTCTTGAAAATATTGCTTACTGAATCTCCCTTGAAATCTAAGTTCATGGAGAGTTTGTTTTTCAGAGCAAGTATAGTTTCATTCCTCTAAATTTTTAGTTTGATATTTTTGTCAATGAATCTTGGTAGGTATCCATTTTGGATGAAGAATTCTCTTAAAAGGTCTAATTCTTGAAACAAGCTGGCTTGTTTAAATCACTGGGTTCTACAAATGTTCAATCCATCAAAATGCATTGTAGTATTTATTTACTCCGTTCCATATTGTTTTAATCAACTAATTACCCTTAATCAGTGACAATATATGCTCGCGCACAATTTGAATTACGTTTCTACCCTATTGCTAAGGATTTTTCGAAAGAAATGGAGGCGAAATATTGTGGAATAGTTCACAGCATGCTTTGAATGGAATGATATTACTTCAGACAATATACATTGTTGGTTATTGTAATGTTTTGAAAATTCTGCCCAAGGAGTAAATAACTTGTATGTGTCCAAACCAAGTTCACTTTTAACAGTTTGAAAATATTTGGGCATTCAGGTATATGATATTCATTATAATAAAGTTTTTCTTGTATTTCCCAATCAATGAATGAAAAACAAAACGATATTGTTGTTTTTACTGACGTTTCGCTTTTTAATGCTACTGATAATAGCTTTATCAAAGTAGTATTATTAAACCGGAATTCAAAAAATCTCCTCAGCTTGTATATGACAACTTAATCATCATTCCTCAGTATGGGGTAATTTTGCATTGTCAAATTGGCCAGTTGGTAGAGACAACAAAATCAAGTCCAGATTGTTGGATTTGATAAGTTTGCCAATTTATAAAAGCAGCGGGTGTTTACATGATGAAATTGCTTATCAAATTGCTGTCGATTTTATCACTTCATGTGGGAGGGAGGAGGTGTTGTAACCACGTCATATTCAAGTATTGGTTTTGTTTGATTGGATGGAGGATTTCATCATCATCATTCATCTACGAGCTTGCCTTATAACCAGAAGGCCCTGTGTTTGAACCCCTGTAGTGGGTGCGTGTTGATGAAGAGTTCCAAACCAGGCTGAAGAAATAGCCATCTGGGAGTACTCCCAGGCTTTCGTACTTGTCACCACTCATCATCAAGACATGTGTTTACCCTTTTCGAGTCTCATATCCACGTTATTTAATGATAAAGCTAACAATTACAATAAACCTATGGCATATACTACTAAAAAGATTTATCAGCCGTATATAAAATATCAAATAGCGGAGAGACTGATTTGATGCCAAAGGAGAGGAAATGAACCACGATAGTATTGAGGGGAAATATGAAAGACACGCAAAGAAGACAGTGAAAAACAATCCTAAGGGCAAAAGTAGCCCAACGCAGAACATCTGCGCCAGTGACAATTTTAATATATATGGCATACATAGTTTCCTTATATGTGTGTATCAAATTGTAAATAAGCATTCCGTCACCAACCAAGGAAAGGTGGCATTCGCCTGCAATCTAGCTACTTGGAGGCCAGGGTGGGGAGTTTCGTGGTGCCGAAGGGCTCTTGCATAAGGGTGCTCATATTGATCAAGTGTCTACGCTAAGCACAGCATCGGTATGGACAACCTGTCGGAGGGCGCTGGCTTTCCAGATCGATTAATGGAGGCCACGGTAGTGTAGCGGGTAGCACCCATCGTATTGTGTGTTTCTTTGTCTTGTTTTCGTGTCTCCCAAGTTTCGCTGCCATTTCTTCTCTTTGACGTCAGATCTCTTCATCTCTCCGCTATTTGATGTTTTGTGTGACTGAACATTCCTTCATATACTACTGATAAATCTCGTTAGTAGCACACGCCAAAAACCATAGTTACATAACTCAACTCTCAAATGGCTTACCTGATTAAAGTTATCCAAAGCTTTGTGTAAATTAGCCAGCATACCTGTAGGCGGTTCATTAGTTATCTTGATAGCATTTTCTAATATCCCTTGTGGAATAATATGCGCTGATACATCGGCTGCTGGTTCTGCACTAACAAATACCCGATAATCTGGATGTGCATCTTCTGCATATTGCTCTAAACGTTTCTCTAGTGTACTTAACCAACGTGCAACTAAGTGAATATTTTGTAGGACAACCCATGCTCCATTCTTTGCTGCTGCCTCTAAAGCCTGTTCAGCAACAATCTCTTGACCTTGTCCAAGTGATATATTATGAAAATTACCCTGTTCAACAGTGAAACCAAGTTTATGCCCCAGCACTTCAACATCTTTCAATGGATCAACCCCAGGAGATAATATAAAAAAGATTGGTACAGCTGGTCCAGATTCTTTAAATGATTTAGCCAATTCAATTTGTCGACCTTCAATAAACTTTGCACCAAATGTTGTCCCAATATAATGCCTCAGTGCATATGTCATTCGATCATGTCGTAAAGCACGCATCATACATAATTTTTCAATAGCACTTTTATTTTTCCATTCTTGAGGGAATTTCTCTTTCTCAGGGGCTTCACTTTCAAGAAATACTTTCCAACGTTTTGCTGAAGCGATAATATCTTTGTCCAAGTCACGAAAATTATTCATTTTCACTAGAGTTTGTACACCACCCCAATTCAAGTCATTTAAAAAGTCAACAGGACTTTGTACATCTGTAACGACGGGATATCTCAGCAGAAAATCCATTAGAATTGGTGGTATTTCTTTGGATGTATACTGAATTTGTAACACCATTAAGACAGTGAAGACTAATTTATCGCGTTCAAATAAACCGCGAGTTGTATAAATAAATATTGAATATGTGATATTATCTAAGAGGAATAATAAGCGTTCTTTATCATTATCTGATTGTTCTGCAGTCTCAATCGACAATTCAAAGACAGTACGGAAGGCTTTCAATGAGAATTGATACATTGGATGTATCTGGCATAAATCATTCATAACAAAATAGATCAGAGCAGCACGTTGAGCAGCTGGTCGATAGTGTTCACGAGCAATATTGATCTCTTTCTCGGTTATCTTCGATTCTTTCACTTTTTCTTCAATATCTTTAGCTGTCTTTTTATTTGTCTCTAAATTTTCAACCAAAGAATGATCACCAAGAAAATTCCCATCGGATGAAGATAACTTGGCCAGTAGAGAATCCTCAAGTTGTTTCAATGTGATCTTAAATTCATTTTGTTGTTTTGTTAGATTAGATTTTAACTTTTCTAAATCTGGACGTTCTTTACTCACAACTGTTGCTAACAATTGATCTTCTAAACCATCACGTGTTACTGTGAAGTTGATCAGTGTGGCTTGTGCTTGTAATTCTGGTTGATAATGTGGATTGGCTAGTTTTGTTTGTAGAATTAAACGGAAATTAGCATTGTATGGGATTTCTTTATCACCCAGTAGGATAAATCGACCTTTTTTAATTGTCTGCCGTCCAATTACAGGATCTAGAATAGGATCAATAGTCTCACCGATATTTTCAATTAATACAACACGTCCATCTGTAATAGCTAATTCAATTTGTTCTAAACAATTTTTAGCGCCAAGCCGTGTAACGACTAATTCATTGCCATATTTAACCTTGATCCATTTAATCGCTTGTAACTGGGGATCAACACACAATGGCCAACGTTCACAAAATGTAAATATTGTAGCATTTTCAATAGACATACGATCCTCTGGTAAAGATTGATTATTCCATGTTGCAATGATTGCATCATCAATCAGCATATCTAAAGGATCTATTCCATTACGTACAGGTATTGGTACCTGGAGACTTTTCAGAAATGGCCACAATTTAACATTCAACAGCTGTTGACGAAATGTTCGACTTAAATAACCAAAATAAGAGATAAAACTTGTTGTTATTAAAACATCTCCGACAACTGTCTCACCGAGTACCTTTAATTCTTCAACTTGATTTGCCCATCTTATATTTTCTGAGGCAAAACCATTCACCAATCGATTGGCTAAATCTAATGTTTTAGCCGTAAAATCAGCTTCTTGTTGACAGCGTAACTTTTCTTCAGTAGCCTCACGGAAGTTGGCTGTTAACTCAGCTAACGATGCTTCAAGCACAGCGATTTTCTTTTGTAAACCTTCAAGTTTCTCCGTAGCTTGACGTAATTCTTCGTTGGCTGCATCCAAGGCATCACGTTTCGGTTTTACTTCACAGTAGACATCATGAAATTTCAGGATATTGATTACCCATGAACAGAGACCAGCAGCAGCCAACGATTTAGTCCGAATTACATCAGGATCAAAATTTGGCATTTTAACATACTCTGAAGCTGCAGCCTTACTATTCGCTGACATATTCTCCTTGTCGTAATTTAAGAGATTACTTAAAAATTGATCCGCTTTAGACATGATACCAGCTTTAGCAGCTTTCCAACTTCTATCCTTTGGCAGTCGACCATCCATGGCGAATAAACACATGACAGCGGAACAAACAGTCACAACATCTGGTGGTGGACTAGTCAATGCCTTCAATTCAGACAAGTTATTTTTATTCAGTGTATTCAAGGCTTCTTGGGCGGCAATCAATGCTGGTTCTGCTTTACGCAGATCATTTTCACACTCTTGTTGTTTCACTTCAACTTCTGCTTTAATAACACTGACTTTTGCTTCTTCTTCAGCGGCAATTTCTTTTTCAGCTGTCACCTTTTCAGTTTCTTTACCAACAACAATAATTAGTTTATTGGCATTTTCAGTTTTTTCATTGACAATAATTTCTTGTTCAGCCAGTTGAACTTTTAATTCACTAGTTTGTTCACCAGCACTTTTTAGTCGTTCTAAACCATTGACTAAACGTTCAATCTTGTGTTGTAACTCATCGATCTGTGCACCAACCATACGTTTGTATAGACTAATTTGTTCTAGAAATGATTTTGGTGTTGTATAGTTATGACGTCGTTCTTTCTGGAGGTATTGTTGACTTAATTCATTGACTGTTGTATGAGCGTATGCCATGTATTGGCTAACAGATTTGCGTACTTCATCCTGAAAATGCGCGGGAAAAAAGGTGTATAGGCATACACATGAATCAATAAAAGGCACACAAAAATGTGATGCAGTTTTAGCATTATTATTATTATTCATTGTCATGACTATTTCAAGCATCAGTCACTATCAATGAGAGAAATTTAAAGAAGAGGTCATTTCCTTCACTTATCTAGGCAGTTTCATTTCAACTACAGGCAGTCAGAAAGGATCAGGATGTGAAAAAGCGAATCAAAAAGCAAGGTAGACATTCATCACTCTTAAATCAAGTGTTAGTTTGTAGGGATTTGGTTGATTGGTTACAGGATTTCATCATGAGCTAACCTAAGTTAGAGAACCATCGGAAAACCAGCTGAAAGTACTGGACAGCTGTTTTGTTCTTTTTGTTGCTGTTGGCGAGAAATCTTCGTCACTCCTGTTTTTCTATGTTCACCTGAAGTCCTATCTTCTCTGGATGCTTCTTTTATCGCCAAGTTGTTGCGTTTCACTTGCATATCCTCCGGTTTATGAGAAATTGGATATAAACTGTCGGTAAAGTCCATATCCTCCAAGCGTTTTGTGTAGGTCCATTTTATGTCTGTCTCTCGTTGCCCGCTGTCTGTCGCATTGTCAAGTTTACCACAATCAGGTAAATTATTGGAAAAATTGTAGTGGGCATCCAGCTTGTCTTACTTCCGTCTTCACTTCTTCGAAGGATTCCGAGAGTTTCCCGTAGTGAATTACTTGGCATGCAGCATAGTCGTACAACTGATGGATGAGGTGCATAATTGTCGGCAGCACCCTGTAGTAACAAAGTAGTTGCCGAATCTCCTCTCGATCGACACTGTCTGCTGAAGGCCTTTTCAAAGCCGATGAAGTTGAGTGAGGTGGAGAGCTGATTACCATTCCAAGCTCTGTTCAATAATTATCCATAGTGTTGTGATTTGATCAATGCATGACTTGTTCCTCCTGAATCCAGCCTGTTCTGGTCGAAGTTTTTCATCCAGAGCGTGTTTAGACACACATTAAACTAGTTACTAACCAGCCTGAATAACTCAGTGGTAACTTCTCTGACTGACTGACTGACTGTAGCACTGAGTGACACGGGTTCACATCTCAGAAGGAGGGACATAAGTTCCTAAAAGACTGCAAATAAACCATGCTGACCGATGAATGACAATAAACAAAAAGCTTATGTCGAAGGCTTCTTGTGGATTGCCTTATGAAGTAATCAACCACCACCGACTACTGTAAACTCTATACAGTACATCAGCTTTGCATAAAAAACTATAACTCGACCAATGGAACACTCCATTCTTTTCTATACTCATCGGTAATATTTGAAATTTTTATTCGCGATTTCGAAAATGTTCAGTTTCTTTCAGTGATCATTTCATCTTTTAAAATCCACCCCCCCCCCCCCGAAAAAGAAACTCACACACACACAAAGAAAATGTTCCACTCAAAGATTGGGAATTCAACTTACTGATAAACCTGGACAATCTTCTAAGAATCTTTCTGAAACAGACAGTAAGGCTTCTTGTGGCCATTCATGGAACCAATCAATACATGTACAATTAACCAGGGCTGGGAAACGTCTTGCTCTTAGACGAAGTTTATCACCAACCGGAGAGAAGCATAAAATAACCTATAAAAAATAAACGCTACTAAGGATGAGAATGAAAATTTTAGTACTTTGAAATACTTAACAATGTAATACCTACTCAACACTTGAGGAATGATTTGAATAAAGTAGACACGAAGTGGACAGTATATCTTCATTTCAGTAGTCTGGTTCCTATCCAGTATAAACGTTCCTGCTTTCAAGCTCCTATAAAATTTTCACGAATGCACACTAATGGATGAGCTAGCTACTTCAGAGATATTTAGTTTCACTAACTAATGGTTATCCTGAAGACTTCATCGTATGTCACGGTAAAGAGAGATTATACCCCCTGAAAAGACTGATTCCGTACCAAAGTTATCTTTATTAAACTAATACGATTCACGGTGACCAGACATTGCAACCGATAGACCAAAGGTTTCAGTCTGCTGTCAGACGGACATTCTACGCCCCATCCTCAGCATTTTTGTTCCCTTTACTTATGATTCAAGGACTCTACTTCATACTGTATCTACAAGTTCATCTGTGGACGCGACGATACATAGATATTGGTAGAACTAATAGAATCCTCCAGTATTGTTGGAAACACCACGTTCTAAAGGGGTTGTCAAGTTACATGGAAATTTAAAATGTAATTAATCTAAATAGAAATCCATCATTAACCAACAGCAAAGCACTAATTCATGACTGCTACTCAGTTATTTCAGGGTTGGAAGCACTTTAGATTAATCATATGCGTACTAAACTATGTATGCACAAAAATCAATAGACTCAAACCCTCGTCTATTATGGACTACTTGACTTACTTAAATATGATTGGTACTTTTGTTTCATGTCACTGAGTAACTGTTCATACATTTTATTTATTTTTTTATTGTGAACCATAGTAGTTGCACAGCGAAATTAGGGAAATTACGAAACGATGACGTCATCTCACAATATTCTGTCTTCTAAATACATCTCGACTTATTCAAGTGTTGGTTTGTAGGGATTTGATTGGTTACAGGATATCATCATGAGTTGACATTGGTTAGAGAACCATTGAAAAACCACCTGGAGTACTGTGCAGCTGTTTCGTCCTACTTCGGGACTCACCAGGTTCGAACCAAGGACCTACTGATTACATGGCGAGCTCGTAGACCACTAAGCCTGGGGGTTCTAGTGAGAAGTCTTGACCAGAAGGTGCAGCAGGTCGGGTGTGAGGACAAAAACTCGCCGAAGACATTGGCTAGTGGTTGCGCTACATTGTGAATTGACAGAAGTTGGAATTCATGCACTGGCTGGCCATCGGATTGGGCTAAGTGGTCAAAGAGCTCGCTGGCCTTGTAACCGGAAGGTGCTGCGTTCGAACCTCTGTAGTGCGTGCGTACTCATGAAGAGTCTTAAACTTAGACGAAACACCCGTCCAGTACTCCCAGATTTTCCAATGGTTCTCTAGTATTCCATTTTAGACGTCTTTATGACCAGAAAAGAGAATGGCACAATAAGAGGAAGTATTTATAGAAAACCTACATCAACGGGCCAGTACACACATTTTCTCAGCTTTGTACCCTTGAAATACAAACGCAATTTGATAAAGTGCCTGGTTCACAGAACAAGAGCGATTTGCTCGGACGAATGTCTTGATGAAGAACTGAATAACATTAATCGGTTGCTAAGTTTATTGATAAGAACATGAATCTAAAATCATAGCAGCCCAAGGTACCAACAGTTTCAAAAAAGGCCTTATTCTTACAGATGAAGTTCCTTGGGGACAACACTAGCGAGATACTAACACAGCGCATTAGAAATGCAGTAAAAGGAGCATTCCCTGCTGCTGAATTACGCTGTGTTTTCAAAACCAATCCTCTTCTGCCTTCGGGAGTAAAAGATAAACTGCTTAATTTCGCCTCTTTCATGTGTATCATCTACCAATTTAACTGCTCCTGTGGAGCCAGTTACATAGGCCGTACAATTAGGCTTGTTCCTCGTCGGATTTCCAAATATCATCCAGTGTGGTTAAGCAAAGGACAAACAAAATCTATTCGCAGCGCTATTATATCTCATCTTGTGAATACAGAACACAAGATTGATGTTAACCAGGCTTTCAGGGTCATTTACGACATGCCGGCGAATCTCAATTTCGCCTTAAGAGTTCGATTGCTAAATATTGCTGAGGCTGTGGAAATCCATATTAAGAAGCCTAATTAATGCATCCAAATGAAGTTAGTTCAGACACTGTCATTACTTTGGTCATCTAGGTTTGAATAATCCTGACTTTTTGTGGAATTTTCCTAATTTTAGCTAATTTTCTATTTGCTACTATATCTTTATTATTATTATTTAAGCATCTTTAATGAACTGTGGTAATTGCATTGATCCTACTTTGCAAATCGATATTATTTAAAAAACACTAATATTGTTATTAACTACTAATCTAGAATATTCTGTGTATATAAACATGCACATATAATTGTAGAGCCAGAAGAGGAATTTATCGAAAAGAATATTCTTTGTTCGATTATTTTGTGTTTTATACATCGCGACTTAGTCTAACAGGGTATATCGTCCATGATCTCAGTCCCCAGATGGGTTAAATGACAGTATAGTGTTAAGGCAATCGTTATTTGGCTGGCAGGAGCTACTAATCATTTGAATCTTTCATGAAAGTTATTATTCATGTTAAAACGGTGTAAATGCCTTGTTATTTTATTGTTTATACCAGCCTATTTAGTGTTACTGAGTACTAAGCTTTTTGCTACACATGCATAAAATCGAAGGTATATCCTTCTTGATGTCTTCACAGTATAACTGCGCATACTTTAATTCACATTGATGAATAGCATTGCCCACCAAAAATATATCTATATTTTTTATAATACAACAGTTGCCTACTGATAATATATTAAGTAATATTAGACTGTATAGGCAAAAATTACTATTATCATCTAACTTACTCGTAACATTTTTCGTGTCTTATCTATAAAGTATTTCCAACAATTTTCATTTGTATCAATAATTCCCATTGCTTTAACTTCTGATCGAATACCTTGTATAATCTGATCAAAATCTTCATCTTGAAAAAGATTTGGTATTTCACCTGAGGCTAAGAAATCATTCACATAGACGAGAAAGCGTTCATCTGCAACCTAATTAACAAAACAATACATAGAATAATTTAATGAAATTTTCTTTATTCAACTCTCTGATTGATTTTTATTATACCACTTAATCTGATATAAATATGTATGCCAGCTGCAAGAATATCGAATAGCGGAGGAATGGATTTAATGAAGATGATGATTGTGAATACGTGACCGCATCTACTTCTAGTCTTATTGGAGAGAAAGAATGCACATTGTACTGTCTAAAACTTTACATTTTCCATGTTTCTGGGCAGTAATTCCTCTGGTATTTTCTGCCACCCATTCGTAGCGTCTCAGCTTCACTCTGCGAATCTTCAATTTTCTGTTCCCACTAGTTCGATTTTGGTGCCTCTTTTGAGGCTACGGTTGTGTTCCGTATCTATATTGTTACCTTCAAGGGCGTCGACAAGTTGTAGTTGCTGAGCAATATATTCTGGGACACTTTCGATAAACAGCTGAGTCTCTGACTCTTCGTTAAGTTTGGGAAGCGCCCAATGACGTAGACGTGCTGGCTTCACTGCCAATACAAGTGGGCCTCCACCTAGTCCCAGCTTCATGGTACGGAACCGGTACATTGCCCTGCTGCCTATATGTTGGGTCGTCGAACTCCGCTACTAACTGTTCCACCAATACCTACTTTGCAGGTTTCTTCACCACCTGCCGGCTTTACACCGTCATGCGCCGCCGCTGATCGACCTCTCGACACCGTCCCCAGCACAATCGTCTTCGCCATCAGATCCATAATGCACACCAACTCAGCATATAAGTTCCGTAAGATGCTCCTGATATGTTCTTAGAAAGCAGCAGGTCATGAGATCTTCATTGTCCGAAGGTAGTGACACCAAATGTAACGGAAGAAGATAAGAGGATTTGGTAACAGAATTGCTTATCAGCAACTCGATACACAGATATGGACAAAATACTTCTACAACATATTAGAATCCCAAGTTGCACATATCTTCATTATTGTGCCTCTTTGTTATCTTTTCATATTTTCCATGTTGTTTCGCAATCACAGCGTTCATTGAATCAGTATTCTTATAGATGACAGAGATATTTATTTCTGTATGTACACACTACTTAAAAATCTTTTCAGTAGCATACGTCACAACGAGTAGTTGAATTCAATTCACACCAACCAGTAATGCTCATTTGATATTAGAACAAGACATATAAGCCAACAGTACTGTTTTCAGTTAGATCTTCCTCAGGCTTTACTCTAAGTTACATAGATTATATATATATATATATATATATATAAATTTTAATCAATGATGGTGAGTTTGTGGATGCACAAACTAGAAAAGATATAAGCTGATGTAAGTATGAGGCATTTTCTTCAGTGAAATTCCCACGTAATTAGCTGACTTCAACTAGAAATACATTGAAAGATTAAGGGTATTTAAAAGCTTCTTTCAAGTATTTAGGGACATTCCAACACTACAGACTTAAAATCATCGATAAATTGTAGCCCACACTGATAGAGTCACATAATATACCATTCCATCAAGTTTTCAGAACACGGTAAACCGTATTCTTCGACTAAAACCAACTCATGATGTATGACAGCCATATTCGCATATCGTCGATAAGTAGCCATCGTCAAGTCAAAGTCATTCGTGGCCGAAGAAATGGAATTTCTGGTGAAAACTTTATAAAATACATCCTATTTTTTTGTTTTGTTTTGATACAAGTGCTCAGGTTGTAAAAACAGAGGACAAAGGCCAGGCAACAGATCCTTTATTAAGGAGATCAACACATATTTCTAGATTTTCATGTACGTTATTATAGATTATTGTTAGCTGACAAACACAGTCTTCTGATTGGTGGCTTCTCACTGAACGTTAATCTTTCATCTCTTTGTGGCCGTTTACTGAAGTTCAGATCATCTACCTGCAAACGGTATCCACCTACGCAAAGTGTGCTGTGATTGGCTGTTGAGTCAGTCTTTGTTCTTATTTTTCTCACGAACAATATCGGAGACGTAAACATTGACGTAAGTTACTATCCACCAATTTGGCTAGCAGCCAGCTCTCACCATAAGATTAAAAACATCTAAATATCTCCATTCTAATGGACATAGTGAACAAGTAAAAAGATAAGCAGTCGTACTATCAGTTACTCCTTATGCTCCATCTGGAACATGATGTGAAGATTCGCGGACAGTGATTATGCATACATCGGTAGAATAAAGGTGTTTGGAACTCATGAGTATTTAGAAAAATCGAGACTTTAGAATATTACAAAATGGAGCATAGGGATTCAGCGATACATCTCAACTGTACACTGTCACATTGTTTTCACCTTTCTGCGTGACTTTCAATAAGTTTTCATCTGCTCTTCATAAGATCTACTTCATGCAGCCCTCGGATCCCATGCCCAACTTGCTGCTTCCCATTTGGTTTCTGCTTAAAGCGAAGCATAGTTTGCACAGGCATGCAGAAGAAGCATACTGTGTACCCACTATAACATTTATACTTATTCCTATGTTTCGACTCACTGTGTAATTATTCTCTGTTTTTATTCTAGACTGTATATCATAATGTTCTGTTTTCCGATGTGATTTTATTTGAGTGAATCAAGGTCATTGTAACGTTGAACCACCTTAGGCAGGCGTTAGTGTGTGATTCTCACGGAATAAGTTTTTGATCCCACCGATGTTGGGAATATTCTACCTGATTCAAAGCTACTTCTTACGGTTGGCTCCTGGTTAAGTAATTTCGTTCTACACACTACTTGTTTTGTCCTTGGAATGTTCTCCTGACTGTATGGTTACTTAACAGCGTTGCTGAGGTCATTTTGAGTTTTCTACGCTATTATTGTCCAACAGAACATAAGGAGATCTAACTATGAATAACCTTTTTTTACTGCCTTTGAGCTGTAATCTACGAATGTTTGGCATGCGATTCGCTCCCGCCAAATGTAAGATAATGGTACAGGACTGAACTACACCGACTCCTAGTTTAGAAATAGGAAGTGAAGTGGTTGGTGTAGCACGTTGACCGCTTCACTTATTTGGTAAGTACCATCAGCCAGTGCCAGCGGGTTGATCTCTGACGAAATCTCACCACGGATACAGAGGGCTAGTTTCCCATATGCCAGTTTACGCTGTCTCTGGCGTAGACGTGACATCCGGCTGGCTATCGACCGAAGGGCGTGTGTACTGCTCATCAGTCCGCTCCGTCCTCCTTTATGGCTGTGAGACCTGGCCATCGAGAGTGAAAAACATGAAAAGGTTAGCTGTATTTCATCATAGGTGCTTGCGCTCTATCTCCCGTGTGAAGTGGTATAACAGGATGAGCAATAGGGAGACTAGGCGTCGAGTGCTAGGTAAACATGGGAAATCAATCGACGAGACTGTGAAATTACATCGACTGAGATGGTTAGGACATGTGTTACGTATGCTAGCCTAGTCATCGCCTTGCTCGACAATGGGCAATGTTAGCTGACTGGCATAGGGTCAGGCTGGAAAAGAGCTAGCGGCGGTCAAACCAATCATGGCACCAGTCAATGAAATCTACAACAGTTAGTTTACGCCAGTCACGTAGGAAGGGGTCGACTTCCTGACTGGTTGGGGTCCTCAGGACGGTAAGAACCAATGGTTGGAAACAATTGGTGACATGGCTCAAAATCGTTCTCAACGGCTGGCGCGGATGCATCCACTCCTTGTGACTTATGATTTCCAGTGAAACTATATTGTTCTTTGTTATTACTATTCCTTTGTCTCACACCTCTGTTTACTGTCTCTATTATGCATTTCTTCTACTTTCGTCTCTTGCTTTGTGTGCTACATGGGGGAGTGTGGCGACTTGAACCGCCGCCTATCGGTGAAAATTTCTATGTCGGAAACAGACAGGTAGACAGACTGTCTTTGAAACATTTTATGACTGTGCGTGTCCAAAGGAATTTTCGGTAAGGAATTTTTGGCGCTATCTAGTCCAAAGCTCAAAAAAGGAGGGGAGGTTAAGGGGAAGATCTAGCAACGCCACCTCACGATATCAGCACAAAAGCTAAGGAAACATTAAACACAGAAAAAGATTAACATTAATAGCCTTGTCTTTATCTGTTACCGAGTCTATTCAACAACTTCGTGATTAGAATGATTGCTATCCGACTAAGCGGTACAGATTTGATCACCCGGTCACCAATACATTTGTAGACCTCACAAAGCCGTTATGAAGGCCTGAAAGAAAGAAGGTTGGGCGTAAAGCTAGCGATTCCACCGCGTAAAATGAAAAGAATCGCTTCTGAAACTTCATAGCTTGTAGCCCTATGTTCCACTTGAAATGCAAAAGAGGCAAACACAACGAATAACGACCACGGAGCGCGAAAGCGGATTACAGAACGTGCCGCGTATTTATAAGTTAACATAATAATATTAATAATGAAACACACTAAAGATGACATTTTGCCCTGATGTAACTGAGAGGCATCAGTTTTCAAGTTTCATAGCCAATAAAATGGTTCCATCTATGTCAACAAGGAAACATTCTCCTCTCATTTTATTTATTTACAAGGAAAATACAGACAATGATGTTAAAACACCTTAAATCTACTACTTGAAGACATGACCGGTATGAAATCACACCTCACTTCATGCACAACATTCATACTGGTGCCGTAATGACGCGGCAGATTCTACAGTCCAACGCACGACATGTGTTCGAAGTCATTGGTGTGCCTTCACACTTCACAGTCACTATTCTTTAGACTGGTCAGCAAAGCAATGCAAAAAATACAACTTTATTAAATATGCATTACTGAAAATGCGAAAATTCCACCTACCTGTGCATCAGTCATTAAAAATACATAAGGCATGTTCTTCAATGATGCTTTAATATACAATTGGGCTAGATGTGCTCTTAAATCATTCTGTGAGTAGCCCTTACGCAAAACTATTTGTGATAAATAAAATCCTGAGATAAATGCAGCTAAACGTGATAGCGACTGTTTACCAGAACCACCGATTCCAATGAGTAAAGCACTACCCCTCGGCATTTCTAATATTCGACAAATTCTTAACACATGTATCACAGCATCACTAAATAATACTAAATTCATAACAGCAAATGTATCATTGTAATTGTTCAATGCATTAACAACAATATCACTAATTTCTTCCAGGGAGGATACAGGCCCGTATTGTCGTTCAGCGGATAAACCTTTATTGAAACTACAATACAGGAGAGGTTCACTTGTTATCTGATGAATTGATATATCAGGGAATTGATTAGTAATACCAAATGTGATATGTTTCAAAGCTGTTTCAACATCATTCATATCAATCATTTTGTCAGTGTAAACACGGATCGCTTCATGACGATATTGTCGGATAACAGAGATTACAGTCGGGAAGACATCAGGTTGAGCAAACAGAAGACACTATGAAAACGACAGGAAGAAGAATAACAGTCATAAAAACAAAAGTATGGAAAAAATTAGATGGAACAACAATATATATTATAGAATCTTAAATAATAGAGACGATTTGTAGCTCAGGTGGATGATTTGCAATTAATAGTGTTCTCTGAGCTTGTTGGTTTAGTTGTGGAGCTTTCGTCGTTCACCTTTCTGGACAACATCCCCCTTCAGCGCAATTTGTAGCATAGAGTGAAGTGATTTAAATTTTTTTCATGAGTGACAGAATTATATCTCCCGGTAACCATCTTTACATATGTATTGATCATTTTCTATTGACTTGAATTGCAAACTTCCTGGTCACATGATTTACTTTTTGTTAGTTGGTATATTTGGTCAATATATTAACGTGTTTGTTCATCGCTGGCTGATTCGTTTGAGTACCAGGCTTCTAGGAATTCCCTGACTGCACTTTTAGTATTTCCTCTGTCTAAGATTTCGACATTATCCCAATCAAACTGATGTCCATAATTGTCTATATGCATTGATATGAAATAATATATATATATATATACATATATATCATGTCTTTTCATGTCTGATTTGTGTTCCTCGATTCTGATTCGAAGGGAATGCCCAATCTGGCCGATGTAATGCCTGTTACAGTTCATCCACGGAATTTATTTTGTAAATGGTATTAATTTTATCTCCTTTGTCTGTAGGTTCTTTCGGTTTGCACAATATCGAATTACATTACATCGGCCAGATTGGACATCCTCTTCGAATTAGAATTCAAGAGCACAAATCAGCCGTGAAAAGACATGATATATGTTTTTTAGTATCAATGCATATAGACAATTATGGACATCAGTTTGATTGGGATAATGTCGAAATCTTAGACAGAGGAAACATCAAAAATGCAGTCAGGAAATTCCAAGAAGCCTGGTACTCAAACGAATCAGCCAGCGATGAACAAATACGTTAATATATAGACCGAATATACCAACTAATAAAAAGTGTAAATCCTGTGACCAGAAAGTTTGCAATTCAAGTCAATAGAAAATGATCAATACATATGTAAAGATGGTTACCGGGAGGCGCAATTCTATCATTCATGGAAAAAGTATTTAAATTATTTCACTTTATGCTAAAAATTGCGCTGAAGGGGGATGTTGTCCAGAAGGGTTTACGATGAAAGTTCCACAACTAAACCAACGACCTCAGAGAACGGTATTAATTGGGAGACAATATGCATACCAACAAGTGGGATACTCCAGACGTAAGTTCAAGAGTGACAAATAACAGTAATAGTAAATGATGAGTTTACAACGTTAGAATTTAGAAGTGATTTAATTCCAACCGAAAAATGTCTGAATGGTCTCGTAACCAGAAGGTCCTGAGTTCGATCCATGACTATGGGGTTGTAAGTGAACAGCACTGAAGAGTCCAAAGGCAAGACAAAACAGCCTCCTAATGCTCTTCCTGGTTTTCAGTGATCTATCTGACAAACATACATCATTGAATTATTTCATTTCATTTTATCTCATTTTCTTATTGACCACACTCACACACACACACAGACATTTTTCAGATAATAGCAGAAATTGAAAAGATCGTTGTAGAGAAGAGAATTTTTGTTTCAACGATGTCATCAACTAGGCTGTACGTTCGTATATATACATGCATATGTGTAATGAAGCTGTTCGAAAGTTCCAGAAATATCTCCCGTCAGTGAAGAACACAGGTGAATACATAACAAGATGAATGAATTCAGGACACTCAGCTCCAATTTGAAAGTCCCTCAAAGCTATGTACAAAATCTCAACAAACTACTCAAAAGAAGTAACATCAAGGCATCTGAGCATAGCTTAGGTACTAGCTATCCAAAATTTCAAGTCAACGCTATGTGTATTCAGGAGAAATACCTCCCCCTTACAACATTTGTCTTTACCTACGCAATCGTAAACGGTTATTTCCTTCAATGACGATTATCTGACTACATTTTCTATCCATTTTCGTGATTACCACCGTTTTAATCCCTGTTTGTAATCTTGTCATAACCGGAAATATACTATATATATATATATATATATATATATATATATATATATATTACCTTGAAGGATTTTTCGAAAGACACTGAATGTCCTGAATTTACCAGATGTTCTGTCACTGAACTGTATACACGCTTTTGGTTTCCTTTTACTAACCAGGCCGGGTAGTGTTCACGAGCGCGTTTTTCAAGTCGGCACATGGTACGGCCAACGTACTCAGCCCCACAAGAGCGAGTAAACTGGTATATGCACTTTGAGGTGGCTCAATGCGACAGCTTGTCTTTCGCGTTCTGGCTGAACAGTTTCTTGCAGGAAAACGTCAGTCGTAGGCTCGCGGTGAAGTATGTTTTCCTCAGCGATTTTGAGAGGCGTTTGCGAAAGATTTCTGCTTCAATATCACCTTTGAATTCTAGATTAAGCAGAAGTATTTTCTTTGGAACGGAATGGACTTGTTCGGAAGTCTTCTTACATTTGAGATTCCTGTCTATGAATCTTGGCGGGAAACCGTTTTCCATCAGGGTATTTTGAAGATTACGCAGTTCTTCTTCAACCACTTCCTCGCAGCATATCTTCCTAATCCTCGAGGATAGAGCGTATATCAGGTTCCTCTTTCTACTCAGGGGCACGAAACTTTGAAAGTTGATGAATTGTCCATTCCATGTAGGCTTTTTGTATATGGACCTTTTAGAGAGTTGTCGGCGTTTCTTGTCAGATGGACGTCGAGGAAGTGGAACATTCCGTCAGATTCAATCTCAAGTGGAAAGTCGATGTCTGGGTGGGCATTATTGAAGATTTGAAGTAGTTTTTCTACATCACAGTTCTCATCACAAATAATGAAAGTATCATCGATGCATCTTTTGTAGAGATGGAGGTTGTTGATAGTCGGTGATAAGGCGTTGTTCTCTAATCTAGCCATAAAGCAATCGGCTAGGAGGGGTCCCAAGTGAGAACCCATTGCTACTCCATCTACTTGCCTGTGTATATACAAATTACACTAGCTGTAATCAACGAATCATAATAGTTATATACCCGGCCATTTAGGCTATATACTTAATCCTGATTGGCTGTCACTTACAGTCTATATGGTCATGCCGGGAAGAGTACTTAATCTTGATTGGATGTTAATATAATTAGGCGTAGGTGAATAAAAAAAATCGGTCATTATATGATGAATAATAATAGCATTGTGTGTAAACTATTGAAATATAATTATAATTTATTTAATAATAACTTAGTTAATATTAGTGAAAATTTTGAGACAAACTCGGTATCCTGGATATTTCAATGACCCGGAGAAACGATAGAACGACTAAGCGTTCTATATTACGTAAACAGACATGGTGTGGACAATATCTTCATTTCACTAGTTCTGTTCCTATCCAGTATAAACGTCGCTTAGTGTAAATCATGTGACCAGGAAGTTTGCAATTCAAGTCAATAGAAAATGATCAATACATATGTAAAGATGGTTACCGGGAGATACAATTGTGTCACTCATGAAAAAAAGCTTAAATCACTTCACTCTATGCTACAAATTGCGCTGAAAGGGGATGTTGTCCAGAAAGGTGAACGACGAAAGCTCCACAACTAGACCAACCACCTCAGAGAACACTATTAATTCCATATTATACAATCTGTCTGTCACGATGGACAGTCTTCTTTGTAAGCCGTTCGCGTCACTATTTATACATGTACTAATATGATAACCTGATTGGACAGTTTTGTTTCGATTGTTTATGGCTTAATTTTCTGAGGTATTTTGGGCATCAAAAAAAATAACCAGATTTCTCCATCTTCATATATTGATTCGCCTGTATAAACTCAAACGGAACAAAACTAAATCTTCATGCAGAGTATTATTAGGACAGCATTTATTTCATTGGATACTCATCAGTCGACTTCAAATTGAAGTATGCGCTGAAGATGTTGCCTAGTAGTGGGGCAATGAAAGCTTCACAAATAAGCCATTCAGCTAGCTCAAAGAACACAACTACATCAAAATCATCCACCTGAGCTACAAATCTTCTTCATTATGTATCTAAATATGTTCTTGGTCGGTTTTTGTTACCAGATTTCCTCGTTGCTTATGCTTTCCAGTCGGTTATTTGATCTTCAATATCGAGTTGAATCGGTGGTGAAGCGTTAGAATTTTCACTAACCAGGCCCCTTGTGGCCAGAGGTTCGATCTATGGCCAACGCAACCCCTAAACCTCACTCAGCTGGTAGTAAACCGAGTAAAAAGGAGAAGACAGGCATGAGCCTAAACATCCCACTCTGTTAAAAGGAAACCACTGCCACTGAAACTTCACAGATTAAGCATAAATCTTTATTTTACACTTGGAAGGTGAAAGATGAAGCGAGGGAAGCAAATGTTGATAAAAGTATATGTTCTTCTGTTGGAAATGCTACTGGGGATGCCAGCAACAAATCTCTGGACCATATATTTATACATATATATATCAAGTATTGGTTTTCAGGGACTTGCTTGGTTACGGGTTTGTCAATGACTTGATATCAGTTAGAGAACCACTGGAAAACAAGCTGAGAGTACTGGACAGCTGTTTCGTCCTAGTTTGGGACTCTTCAGCATTGACCCAGGACCAGACCAATTGGTCTACTAGGTCGCCTTGTAACCAGAAGTTCCTGGGTTCGAACTGATGGGTGCGTACTGGTGAGGAGTCCCAAACTAGGACAAAACAGCTGTCCAGTACTTCCAGATTTTCCAATGGTTCTCTAACCGATGTCAGCTCATGATAAAAACCCACCATGCAATCAAAAAAAATCCCTACAAAAAGCAATACTTGAAAATTTTTAACAATAATCTTCATTTTTTTAAAATATATATTTTCACACTTACCTGAAATATATTCGTTAAATCACGTAAATTAAATAAATAATGAAAACGAATAGCTGTTGGCAAGAATACAGCTGATATTTTATCATGTGCAATCATACAGGCTTCAACTAGACTATCAACTGCACGTATTACTGCGGATGGAAAACTATTCCGTATATAATGTTGCTTTAATATCGTTGAATAGATTGTTTTCACAGCATTCTCATCAGGAAAACTCAGAGCAAATACTGAAAAATGACGCTGCAGTCGTGATGTGATTGTAAAACTACCAGCTGTTGGATTCATAGCAGCTACATATTGAGTTTTACTCACTTTTTTTAGGGTTAACTTTTGTCTATCATAAAAATGTTTATGATCTATATGTTGACGAATAAGTGTATGTGGTTGAACTGTGAAATATTGATCAACCTAAAGGTATATGAACACAAAAAGTATTTTTTTAAGAAAAAAAAGTGTGGTTGCTACTGTCTCACCTTCACAAAAATAATAAAAAAGGATTTTTCAAAAGAATGTATACTGAACAAAAAGTACTCTTTTCGATAACTTCATTATCAACATCATCAAGAAATACATGGCGAAGAAAGCGGAAAAGGACTACTCACTACCTGTAAACAAAAAGCAACTTTATATGCGACTACAATTCATGGGCGATATACAAGTTGGCAGAAGAAGCATCAAAGATAGGACTTCAAGTGAACATGGATAAAACAGAGGTGATGAAGATTCCTGGCCAACACCAACAGCAGCAACAACGACAACAGACAACAATCAGCATAAATGGGAAGAACCTGAAAGAAACAACCTCCTTCACCTACCTGGGAAGCATCGTTTCAACTACAGACGGACGCAACTCACGAGAATATCAAAACAAGAATCGGAGAAGCAAGACAAGCTTTCACTACCCTTAAGTCTGTGTGGAGGAGGTCAACAGCACTCAGAATCAAAAATAAGATCCGGATTTTCAACTCCAATGTGAAGTCAGTCAGTGCTACTCACTGTACGGATCAGAGACTTGGCGGGTCATAAATAGCATCTCAAACAAACTTCAAACCTTCATTAACAGTTCTCTTCGCTCAATACTACTCAAGATCAGATGGCTGGCCAGAAAAGATCAACAACAGGGATCTCTGGCAATGAGTGAACCAACCATGAACCGATTGTGAAACATATATGCAGGAAGAGAAGGAGATGGATTGGCCATAGTCTGAGGAAACGATCAAGTGACATCACTAGACAAGCCATTGCTCGAGTGGAACCCGAAAGGGAAGCGGCCAGTTGCTTGTCGGTGTGAGGGTGACTTGGAGGAGGTGATGTGAAGAGGAGATGAAAGCATGTGGGCAGACTTGGAGCGGGGTGAAAACGTTGGCAGAGAACTGAACGCAATGGAGACTCGCGGCTGAAGCCATATGTTCCTCTAGGAATTAAGGGATATAATAATTATACCAAGTGAGATAATTACGAGGAAATTAAGAAAACCAGTTCAAAGAACTTTTAATGCTGGAGAACTACACGTCTTATTCTCTACACGATCGATGGTGCTACCTCGACTGAAAGAGGAAGTACCTAGACTAGCTAGTGACTTCAAATTGTATCCACCAATTCAACTGCTCCTGTGCTGGGGTGAGTTATATTGGTCGTTAATCCAAGTACTTGATTTTTCGTGCTCGGTCCAGAACATCACCCACTATGGCTAAGTAAAGGTGTAGTGAAAACCATTAACAGTTCAATATTGGACCATCTAGTGCAAATCGACCACACAACCAGCCAGCGTGGAATAATCCATCTCTATCATTATCTAACGGGTACCTAATAAATTGCCAAAATCATCATCGAAGCATTGCATGCTCCAAACAGCAGAGGTCATTGCAATTCGCCTCAAACAACCAGTGCTCTGTGTTCGAAAGAAGCAAGTCCAGCCCCTACTACAGCCTTGGCTTTCAGTAGAGACTATAAATTCATGAATTTTCTGACATTCAGCTTCTTTTATGTTGATGCTATTGAGCTGTAATCTACTGATATTATTGATTCGACGTTATTTAAACAGCAGCATTAATGTTGTTTATAACGCTAATTCATTCATTCACTATAATGGATGGATATATAACTGTAGAGCCTGATGTTGAAGGCGTTATCGAAAAGAGTATTTTTGTTCAGTATTCATTCTTTTGAAAATTTTAATGGGCATTTTTAATCAGTTAAAAAAGGATTTCAAGTTGAATGACAAGCTGACATTGATTAGAGGATTACTAGAAACCAAGGAGAATTTGCCAGCTGATATAAGATGGTTGGAGACAATCAACAGGAAGCCTCGACCAACCTAGGTTTCGTACTAGATGACACTCACCAACCATCAAGGCGTATCGACAACCATCTTGAAGGAACTCATGTCCCTGCATCTAAGATTCAAACCGGCATCACCCAGTGCTGCAGTCAGGAAGCCTGAATAACTCAGTGGTAACGTTCCTGACCGAAGCACTGGCTGATGCGGGCTCGAATCTCAGACTGAGAGACATGAGTTCCTTCAAGATACGCCTTGCTGACCAGTGAGTGGCATCTAGCACAAAACCTAGGTCAGTCGAGGCTTCCTGCCAATTGCCTCCATCCATCTAATACCAACAAATCACACAGTGCACCTAGCATGGTGGCTACATTACAGACTTGACCAAAAACAGGACTAGACATTACACACTACACTAGTTACTGCTTAGTGTCCAATCAAAAATACTCGGCAGCTGCTTCACCTATGTTGTGGACTCTTCAACAGCACTACCCATTCAAGACCTTTAGTTTAGGAGACGACCATCTTGACTATTTAGTTACTAGGACAGAATCCAATGACCCATCAGTTAATGTCATCAGAAAATATTTGTTCTCACACCTAAATGATTAACTGATGGACTGCTGAAGAGTCTCAATGTAGATTAGGACAATTGTTCAGTACTCCTTAATTTTCAACGGCTTACTAACTGATATTGTGGTGAGAGCTGGATGCTAGCCAAATTGGTAGACAATAATTTGCGTCAAAGTTTACGTCCCCAATATTGGTCGTGAAAAAATTAAGAACAAAGACAGATTCAACAACCAATCATCACAGCAGACTTTGAGTAGGCGGGTACAATTTGCAGATCAATTATCTGAACTTCATAAATGTCCACAAAGAGATCAGAGATTAACGTTCAGCGAGAAACCACCAATCAGAAGACTGTGTTTGTTTGCTTACAATAATCCCAAATAATGTACATGAAAATCTATAAATATCTGTTGATTTCCTTAATAAATGATCTGTTGCCTGGCCCTTGTCTTCTGGTGTTACAATGTGAGTTTATGATCTAGTATGGAACAAATCAAATTCCCGAAAATAGCACTTGAAAATAAAAATGATTACATATGGGTATTCATTACACCCCTCTTTACGTTCTGTACAATACAACGCAAGACTAGTGTATGTACCCCATATATACAGCTATATGATAGTACCACATATCAAACGATCCACAATGGAAAATTCAGTAAATCCTTTGAAGTGAAAACAGGAGTAAGACACGGCTGTCAGACTACTATCACTCATGATATTCCTACCTGTGGTCGACTGAATTATCCGGGACACTGTATGCTGGGGAGCGAAAATACAAGAATACGCTGGATCGATAAGAAGACTATAGAAGATCTGAACTTCGAAGCCGATAATTTCTGTCTGATGTCACATAAATCCAAAGACTTACCAGAGGAAATCAATAAACTGGCAGTAGAAACAGCCAGCTAAAACAAAGACTTCCAATTGGAAGTGGAGGAGACAGAGGTGATGAAGACAACCAACCAACAAGAAGCAATAATCCTAGTCACAGGGGAAAATTTTCTAAGAGGTCATATCCTTCGCTTATCCGGCTACGAAGCATCATTTCAACTACAGGCAACAGAGAGGATAAGAATATCGAAACCATTCAGGATCAGAAAGTTAGTGCACACCTTTATCATTGTGAAATCAGTTTGGAAATCTTTTGCACTCCTCTAGAGCATAAACAACAAAATCCGGATTTCCAACACTGGTGTTAAGTCATTCAGTCTTTCTATATGGGTTAGAGATCATACTTAAATGATTAGCAAGAGATGTCTGTCTTCGTATACGGTAAGTGAATCGCAGATATGCTTTCCCAGCAAAATAAATCCACATTTATTATTATCATATCCCTTAATTCCTAGAGGAACATATGGCTTCAGCCGCGAGTCTCCATTGCGTTCAGTTCTCTGCCAACGTTTTCACCCCGCTCCAAGTCTGCCCACATGCTTTCGTCTCCTCTTCACATCACCTCCTCCAAGTCACCCTCACACCGACAAGCAACTGGCCGCTTCCCTTTCAGGTTCCACTCGAGCAATGGCTTGTCTAGTGATGTCCTTGATCGTTTCCTCAGACTATGGCCAATCCATCTCCTTCTCTTCCTGCATATATGTTTCACAATCGGTTCATGGTTGGTTCGCTCATTGCCAGAGATCCCTGTTGTTGATCTTTTCTGGCCAGCCATCTGATCTTGAGTAGTATTGAGCGAAGAGAACTGTTAATGAAGGTTTGAAGTTTGTTTGAGATGCTATTTATGACCCGCCAAGTCTCTGATCCATATAGTGAGTAGCACTGACTGACTTCACATTGGAGTTGAAAATCCGGATCTTATTTTTGATTCTGAGTGCTGTTGACCTCCTCCACACAGACTTAAGGGTAGTGAAAGCTTGTCTTGCTTCTCCGATTCTTGTTTTGATATCCTCGTGAGTTGTGTCCGTCTGTAGTTGAAACGATGCTTCCCAGGTAGGTACGTAGGTAAAGAAGGTTGTTTCTTTCAGGTTCCTCCCATTTATGCTGGCTGATTGTTGTCTGTTGTCGTTGTTGCGGCTGTTGGTGTTGGCCAGGAATCTTCATCACCTCTGTTTTATCCATGTTCACTTGAAGTACTATCTTTGATGCTTCTTCTACCACCTTGTTGTTTTTCACTTGAATATCTTCCAATTTGTGGGAAATCAGACATATATTATAGGCGAAGTACAGATCCTCCAGGTTTTTGTGTGGGTCCAATTTACGCCTGCCTTCTCGTTGCCGTCGCTGACCGTCGTACTATCCGGTTTACCGCAATCAGAAAAATCATTGGAAAAAGTAGTGGACACCCAGCTTGTCTCACTCCCGTCTTCACTTCTACGAAGGATTCTGTGAGTTTCTCGCTATGGATTACTTAGGCATGCAACACTGTCGTACAACTGTTGGATGAGGTGAATAATTGTTTGCAGCACCACGTAGTAGCAAAGTAGCTGCCGAATCGCCTCTCGATCGACGCTGTCTGCTGAAGGCCTTTTCAAAGCCGATGAAGTTGAGTGAGGTAGACAGCTGACTACCATTCCAAGCTTTGTTCAGTGATGATCTGTAGTGTGGCGATTTGATCGATTCATGACTTGTTTCTCCTGAATCCAGCTTGTTCCAGTCGAAGCCACATCTATAAATGTTCAAATTAACTACTCACTAGATTAAAGGTATATTTCAGAGACATTATTCCCGGCATAATATTAATAATAAGTAACCAATTAGACGATAAATGTAACGAGATAATTGTTTAAAAAATCCTTCCTCAACGATGTAATTACAATCTTTATATAATTATTTGGATGTTTTCTAAACAACTTTGTAATTTTTAATTATTGGTTTTGTAGGAATTTTGTTTAATTTGATGTAGGATTTCATCATGAATTGACGTCAGTTAGAGAACTATTGGAAAACCTGCATGGAGTACTGGACAGCCAACCATTTCGTTCTAGTCAGCTCATGATAAAATCGTCCATTCATCCAACTTTGTAATTTGTAATTTTGACGCATTCTCCTCCTAGACTGTAAATCAATGTTCTAACATTCGCACATCATCCCTATTATCTGTCTTTGTCCCTCCCGGTTAAATCTCTAATTTTCATTCTTCTCTCTCTCTCTCTGTGGTTGTGTCTTACCCTGATAATGCGTTGTTTTATGACGACATGATTTGATTTGAGTGAATGATTGAAGGTCATTCTGACCTTGGACTTTTGTGTAAGACAAGAATTGTTGGTGTGTGAGTCTTGTAGTGGACAGCATTTTCAGTCCCACCTTGTTAGGAATATTCTAGTAGATTTTGGAGTATTTCTTATAACTGAATTTTCGCTAACTAATTTTGTTCTACAGTAGTTGTTTCTGACTAGAAACTTATCTAGCCTCTTCAGCTGTCTGACGCACCGTTGATATAATTTTTGCTCTTTGATGTTGTTATTGTTGAAACGAACCACATAGACCTATCTGTTTTGGAGTATTTTGTGGCTGTGCGTCTCTCCGGGAAGTTTCCTACACCTATACAGTAGGACGCGTTTCAGCCACAACGCATTGATATTCAAGTGAATATCAATGAGATGCTCACTAGCGACTTGCCCTATTCAGGTAAGTAGTTACCTGGGGTTCTAGTGAGAAATCGTGACCAGTAGGGTGCAGAAGGTCGGGTGTGAGAAGAAATACTCGCCGGAGACATTGTCTAGGGGTCACGCTATGTCGTGAATTGGTAGAAGTTGGAATTCATGGACGGGCCATTGAATCGGGTCCCAGTGGCTTAGTGGTCTACGAGCTCGCCTTGTAAACAGAAAGTCCTACGCTTGAATCCCGGTGGGTGCGTACTGCTGAAGAGTCCTAAACTAGGACGAAACAGCTGTCCAGTATTCCCTGCAGGTTTTCCAGTGGTTCTCTAACCAATGTCAGCTCATGATGAAATCTCACAACGCATTGGTTTTCATCGTTACAGTACGCTTCATAACTTCAGTTAGTTTCAATGCTCGGATAGCACATTTTTAATATTTTAACAATAATATACCAACTTTATGCACCCTGATATATACTACTGACTACTGGTATCAGTAGTTGACAACCATTTAAGTCAACCTGACCAAAAGGATTTATACACCGAAACAGTCATTTCACTCGTTTGGAACTAAGCTTGGGACCAGTGATGTCCCCTTGGTGAATCAACTCGGAGAGCTGAATTATAGTAGAAGAACTAATGATATGTAGAATCAGATTTTTCATTAGCCTGTTTAAGCAGTTCCGTTCTGTTCGATGGTGACTAGCGGTGGGACCCAATAATGCCTGTTTCATTCTATTTGAATCTCATCAACTGGATACACATCCATCATTCCCGGGGAATAATTAATGGTTAATCCACTAAGTCTTAAACCCAACAGACATTATTTGAAATGCCAAACCGTTATCTACTAGTTCAGTTGGTTATGAGAACCAGTTCTTGTATAACTGTTTTCACTGGCTTTTATTGAAACTATTTTTCCGAAACATTCAGTGTCTGTTAACATATGACCTCCTAATAAAGATGTTTTGAGAATGCATTTAAAGCAATTAGTCCTTTTTATAAATTTGGATAGCGTTATTAGAAGACGGAGATTTTCTGAAAAACAATGTGATGTATTTGCGCCATGCATTTCGAACAATCTGATCACACATTTACTTGTCAAGTAGATATATATGAAAAAGTTAAATTAAACAAAGTAACCTAAAAGAGTTTTAAATGATTAACACAACATTTGGTAATCCAATTAAATAAGGATTACCAAGGTAGGTTAAGAGTAATAATAAACTGCTTATGCACATCCGGGGTGGGGGAGGCTTAAGTTTATGAATAGCTATAGCCTCAGCGTATTTCAGTAAGCGCCCCGTGACCGTTTTTATTGATGACCATAAAGGCTGAGTTAACACCAATCTTATGGTTCATCTCGATTAGATGTTTAGCTATAGACGAAGTTGGTAATCTGACTGACACCTGCATCTATTTTGGGATATGCTCTCCCACCCTCACGTGCAAAGCGCGATTACTCCTCCCTATGTATGTATGTCCACACACACACACGAAAATTGGTAAATTGTATGGGATGTGACATAATCACTTGTTCACTTTTGGGGTTTACAGTGAAGCATATTTTTAGCTTTTTCCACAATTAGTAGTAGGTTCCACCGATGATCGAATTCAACCTTTCTCGCGAAATCCTACTGTTTATTTCCCCGTTATATGGTAATTTAATGAAAACATTTTTCTTAGGTGCAGTATATTTTGTAGGTTAAGAGAATAATTGACTTCTACACCTGTTTAAAATTTTTAAAGGATATCCGTTTTCAACAAGAGTATCCATCAATTTTTCGTTTTCTTGGTCTATAACATCAGCCGTACAAATACGTTGATTCCTCTCGAATAGACATTTCACCAAGCCTCTCTTATACTGTAATGGACAGAAACTGTGAAAATTAAGGTACTGCCCAGTCCAAGTCGGCTTTCTGTAGATTGATCGCCTTATTGAACCGTCATCTCTTAGACTCAGAAGTACATCTAAAAATGCAAGCTGGTTGTGACATTTTTTTCTTCGCATGTAAGACTACTATGATTCTGTATAGAGTTAAGTCTGTCTAATAGATGACTCGCATCTTCATGATCGTCGCATATCAAAATGATATCATCTCTTATAGAGGGGGAATTTTGAAATTAAATCAAGAGACAATTTCTCAACATAAGACATGTAAACGTCTGCTAACAAAGGTCCTAATGGACTGCCAATAGCAACGCTATCCACTTGTCAAAAATGCATTTAGGTTAATATGATGGGTTCCTAATCGGATAAATCATACGGTCTAGATGTCACTGTTAGTCAGAATCAACTGCATAACATTGAGGGAACTAGATGACCGGATAACAAATAAAACGTATATAGTTGTTCTTAACTTCAATGAGATGTCTGTAGTCACATTCCTAGGCATCTAAGACAGTTTATCACAAAGATTGTTCCTTGAATTCCTGTCTACCAACATTCATGAGCTATACGTATCTTGTGACTACATTTCCAAGTATTTTGTTTTCTGTCTTCTTACAATCTACTGTGTGTAATTTACATTAACATTCAATACCCCTCAAAAAAGTACTGACACTGAGAAGAGCACTCACCTCTGGCATATTTAAATCATCAATGAAATAGAGGAGTCTATGCTGTCCTGGTGGACCATAATTCATACCAGCTTTTTTCTCTAAACTTTTATCCAACACTTCTTGTAACATTAAACTTGTTGTATAAAAATTGAATGGTATACTCTTCACAAGATATTCTTCAGATAAACTTGAAAATTTATCCTGTAGGATAACAGATTTCCCAGTTCCAGCTGAACCAACCAACATAACAGGATGTCCAGCTTCAATGAGTAGATCTAAGAAGAAACGTAATCGGACAACTTCCACTGTGGGAACTAAAGCAGCCTTTAGTAGAAAAAAAGAAGTACGTAACGTGTTTATTTAATTAATAAATTTTATCACAACTTGAGGTTAATTAAACAAATCATGGTGATCTTAAGAGACTTTAGCAGTAAAACGATCAAATCAAACCTCAAACAATTAGCTACCACACAGATTATCTATCGTCTTAGCCTTATTACAACTGAGCTTTGTGTGCTTTTAACTATTTATGCGTCATTCAAGTATACCTCGTTCCATAAGCTATTTGACCACCTTATATTGTTGTTTCTTATAAACTTGAGTACCACTCAACAACAGGTTTGTGTAAACATCTGTTCCCGCAAATTTAGAGTTCTCTTTTTGAAGTACTGGAAATATCAATTTCCTCTAGATTAACTCCAGCCAACTATCAATCATTAACAGTTTAGTCTGGGTATTATGTTGTTATTGCAATCCTCCCTTTTTTTAAAAGGTCCCTACTGTAGATCAACCACTCTAGAAATCCTTAATAACAGTGATAAGGCACCACTGACTAAAATAACTAACGTTCTAGGAATAATATTATTATTCCCTCGGGTTCCGAGTGGAACATACGGCTTCAATAACAAATCTCCACTTTGTTCTATTCTCTGCTGTTCTCTTTAGTTTATCTCATAATTGCATGGAGGATTTCATCGTCAGCTGACATCAGTTAGAGAACCACTGGAAAACCAATTGGGAGTACTGGGCAGCTGAAATCCTCTATGCAATTAAACAAAATCCCTACAAAACCAATACTTGAAAACTAATCTGATGCTCACTAGCAAGTGGCTCTATTCAGGCAGTTAACTTGGGGTTCTAGTGGGAAGCTGTGACCAGTAGGGTACAGCAGGTCGAAGATGAGGCAGTACCTCATTGAAGAAGACAGCGAAATGGTCGCGCTATGTCCTGAATCTGCAGAAGTTAGAATTCAAGATTCATTGGATCAGGCCCCAGTAGCTCAATGGTTTATGAGCTCGCCCTGTAACCAAAAGGTCCTGGCCTCCAATCTCGGTGGGTACGTACTGATGAAGAGTCCCAAACTAGGACGAAACAGCTGCCCAGTACTCCCAGGCTTTCCAGTGGTTCTCAAACTGATGTCAGCTCATGATGAAATCTTCCATGGAATCAAAAAATCCATATAAAGCCAATACTTGAAAATTATCCCATAATTATCCATAATCTCTCACCTTCTCCTCCATGTCACCCCTCGCTCGCACCGACCACCCACTCGTGGCTTTCTATTGGCATTCCCCTCAAGCGAAGGTCTGTATTGGGCATGATGTCACTCGATGGCCTCCTCAACGTATGCCCCATCAATCCGTCTCCATTTTCTCTTACATATTTGTTCAGTAGTCGTCTCTTCGTTGGTTTGTTGACAGGGCTTTTTTTGTCGCTAATCCTTTCTGGCCATTTGATCTTCAGCATGGAGACACCGAAGGCGGTTGTTAGTAAAAGTCTGAACTGGTCAGTTCAAAATGCTTTTCGTGACGTGTAGTGCAAGTTTCTGATCCGTAACAAAGAAGTAAATGACTTGGTATTCCTGTTGAAAATCCGATTTTAGTTTTTCTTGCTGAGTGCAGAAGAGCGATGAAGGTGCTTGTCTTGCCTTTGTGATTCCAGTTTTAACATCGGTATGAAACCTAGGTCCAAGGCTTCCTGTCGATTGCCTTCAACTATCTAATATCGATAATTCAGAGTCCATTGTAATGTTGGGGAGTCTAGAATGACGGTGACATTGCAAACTTGACTGACTATACAATTCAGTCTGCACCAAACACAGGACTAGAGACATTACACTTGCTGCCAACTAGTATCCAGTATTATGGAGATCATTGATCAGCATAAATACCTCAGCAGCAACGTCTTTGATTGCAGTACTCACTGGGTGATACGGGTTCAAATCTGCGAAGGCACACGAGTTCCTTCGAGGTTGCAGATACGCAATGCTGATTAGTGAGTGTCAGCAAGCACCCTTCCTAGGTCCAAAGCTTCCTGCCGATCACCTCTAATCATTTAATATAAATGTTTTGATTGCCTAGAAACCTCGTTTATCCTACTGCCCTCAGTTAAAATTACACATTCTATGAGCTATTTCATAAATCAAATAACCTACTGTACTTGGTTACTGGATTTCATCATGAGCTGACGTTAGTTAGAGAACCATTGGAAAACCTGCAGGCAGTACTGGACAGCTGTTCCCTCCGTTCTAGTTTGGGACTCTTCAACAGTACGCACGCGCCACAACTGGGTTCAAACCCAGGACCTTCTGGTTACAAGGCGAGTTAGCTCGTAGACCATTAAGCCACTGGGACACAATTCAATGGCCCATGAATTCTAACTTCTGCCAATTCACGAATACTTGATTACCAATGAGATGCTCACTAGTGACTGGTCCTATTCAGGTAGGGGTTTCAGTGGGAAGTCGTGACCAGTAGGGTGCAGAAGGTCAGGTGTGAGGACAAATACTCGCCACGGATGACAATGGCTAGGGTTGCGCTATATCGTGAATTGGTAGAAGTTAGAATTCATGGACTGGCCATTGGATCAGGTCCCAGTGGCTTAATGATCTACGAGATCCCCTGCCTTGTAACTAGGAGGTCCTTGGTTCGAATCCCGGTGGGTGCGTACTAATGAAGAGTCTTAAACTAGGACGAAACAGTTGTCCAGTACTCCTAGCTGGTTTTCCAATGGCTCTCTAACCAATCTCAGCTCATGATGAAATCCTGTAACCAATCAACCAAATCCCTACAAACCAATACTTGAATAACCTACTATATTTCTTGATATTTAACTATGATTACAATCACAAATATTTTCCCTTGCAATTCACACTATTATTTTGAATTTAATTCACCGAAAATCTCATGTGAATATCCTTGTTCAAGTTAACAACATCTGGATGGGCAAAAAACTCCGTCAAGCCTGAGAATAAACACCTTTCTGACACTTACTTGTAATGGTATATCTGGATCTAGTTCACATTTTGTTAAACGTGTTGACCAACTTTCAAATTTTCGTGTTGTTAAACTCCAAAAAAAGTCGAATATAGTACCACCGGATGGAAATTTCACTTGTTTAAATTCATTCAGCCACCATTTTGAAAATTCAACACGATAATCACACAATTGATCTTTAAATAAACATCCACCAAATGACCAAACACAACAGAAGACAAATAACATTTCATAATTTTCTTTAGTAAATTCACGTGTATCTTTTGATTTACTTTGTATATCCAATATACATTCAAGTAGATAGCATAACATTTGAATATGAGCTAAATCAGGTATCGGTGTAATACGTTTCATTCGATAACGAACAATTTCAAGGCATGGTGAAACATACTTGTCAAAACAGATTGACAGTGCAGGTCTTTCACTAATCGATAGAGTTTTCTTCATTTTCACTCGATCATCTAACCAACTGTGTACAAATCTGTAAGAAAGAAGTAACACGTGGGGGTGAGGAGAGGAGAAAGAAAAGAGGTCAAAGAGGATACATGTTAACTTCGTTAAATTTCAGTTGATATGAGTCGGCGGTTCGGTGGTAGAATGGTGGCCAACCAGGCACGTGGTCTGAGGTGCAATTCCTGAAGGGCGCCCATCTTTAACCCTCCCCCCTCTAGCCAGTTGTCATCCAGACAAAGAGGGATAGTTGGGTGTGAGGCTAGCAATCCCATACCGTAAGAAAAAACACTACTTCTAAAGCTTCAGAGCTCAAGCTTGAAAGGACCTATGTTCCGCTTGGAACGTACAGGAATGCAAAAATAACTTGGATGGTCAATCCATCATAATAAAGGTTTCTTTTTGTATTTCCCATTCAATGAGTGAAAAACAAAACGATTTTGGTTTTTATTCATATTATATACTCAAATGCCCAGTTTTTTTCAAACTGTTGAAAGTAAACTTGGTTTGGACATACATAATGTTGTGGTGAGAGTAGGCTGCTAGCCAACCGGTAGACATCAATCTGCGTCAATTTCTAGGTTCCTAATATTGGCTGTGAGAAAATATGAACAAGGCTGATTCGACAACCAATCACAGCAGACTTAAACGTGGGCAAATACGATTCGCAGATAGATGGCTCCACTTTCCGAGAAACTCGAAATTAACCAATCAGAAGACTGCGTTTGTCTACTTAAATATACTATAATAATGTACATGAAATACATATAAATACGTGCTGATTTCCGTAATAAAATGATCTGTTGCCGGCCCTTGTCTTCTGTTGTTACAATGTAACACTTAATATGATGTTACTGAGAACATTCAGAAAACTTTCAAAAATCACAAAGAACGTCTGATATCATCAAAAGCATTTCACATCAAATGAAATCTAAATTATCTGAATAGGAATGATGGAGTGAAATAGAAACAACATCCCCTCCCCTTGTGAAATAACAAAATCAACACGAATGTGATAAGCAATTTCATTATGTAAACACACGCTGCTTTTATAATTTGACACACAATTTTCAAATCCAACAATCTGGACTTGATTTTGCTGTATTCAACAGCCGACCAATTTGACAATGCAAAAATGACCCCATGCTGAGGAACGATGATTAAGTTTAAAACAATTAATTCCCTTTCTGAATTTAGATAAAGCAATAAGAAGACGTAATTTGTCTGAATCGTGTAATGTGCATTTGCGCAACACATTTCGAACAATCTGATCACACACAGACTTGTCATGGGAATATATATGAAATTAATAAAGAGTTAAGAGGTGAGAAAACAGACGAGTTAGGGCAAGTTGAAAGGACATATTCAAAGTCAAAATAACAATGAAGACCAATAAACCAAATAACAGAGGTAATAGTACATCTACCCTGGCTGGTATCAAAACAAAATTAACCAAGGAAGGTTTAATGTGATGACGAATTGTTTTTGATTACATAAAGGTGGCTTGAACTTTCTGATTGCTAGCTAGGGCTTCCACAAACTTTAGGATACGCCCCAAACACGTTTTTTAGATAGGTTTAAAAGATCTGTTAACATCACTTTTATGTCCTGTCTCTAGAATATGTTTCGCAATAGAGGAGCCAGGTCTCCTGTTCGTACCATTAGTGGGTTTTGGTGCTTCTATTTGCTTCTGGAGGCATTTAGGAATATGCTGTGAAGCCCTCACTTGCAGAGATCGATGAGTCCTCCCTATATATGTGTGTCTACACGTACATTCAAATAGGTAAATACAGTGGGATGTGACGTCATTTTTCGCATGTTCGAAGGGCTTACATAGATATCATGGCTTTACATTCTCTATTATTATGATATTAGCTGCATAAAAAGTCTTTTTAACAGCAGCGTTCTTTGTCTAGTTATCAAGCTGCTTTGATGCCCCATATAGGGTAGCTTGATGTACACGTCTTTCTTAGGGGCGGGCGAGTTGGAGAGTGGGTCTTGGTGTTCTGACTACTTTATATCTCCTGATGAACTTATCTGGATAATTGTTATCAACCAGAGTTTGTGTCAACTTTCTTTCTTCTTCATCAAGTGTGTCTTCAGTTCACTTTCCTGAGGCTTTTTTGTACCGAACAGGCCAGGTAGAAACTGTGGTAATTAAGATACTGTCCTGTCCAGGTAGGTTTTCTATAAATAGATCGTTTTATTGACCCATCCAGCCGTCGACTAAGCAATATGTCTAGGAAAGATAAACAATTATCTTCTTCTTCTACAGATGTAAGTGATATGCTATTCTGAACTTCGTTTATTCGATTTAAAATTGAGGTGGCAGAACAAGACTTATCACTGATGACTATGATATCATCTACATACCTTCTATAAAGTGGCACATTTTCGATTAAATCCACCGATAAATTCTCAATATACGACATATAAATATCTGCTAAAAGGGGCCTAACGGACTTCACATAGCATATATAAGCTGATTGAATTTTATAAATTCTGGTTTATTAATACTACTTTGATAAAGCTATTAGCAGCAGTATTAAATAACGAAACGTCAGTGAAAACAACAATATCGTTTTGTTTTTCACTCATTCACTGGTAAATACAAGGAAAACCTTTACTATAATGAACATCATGTACTCGAATGCCCAAATTTTTTCAAACTGTTAAAAGTGAACTTAATTTGGACACATAAAATTCGATGGTCTATCTTTTAAAGTCCCATTTTGGGGGAAATTTTATTTTCATAAAATCATACAATGCTATTACAGTATTATTTACTGATGACGGCGTTTCAAGCACAATTTATCACCGCTCACAATCGTGTCAAAGCGATCGCATAACTTCCTTGCTTCATTTATATACATGAGTTTTATGTTTATACCAATCTTTTAAAGTGTTCAGTTACAGAATGCTTAATAGATGTAGACGAATATTAGGCAGATAAAGTGAGCGAAATTAAGCCAAATATCTGGGTACGTATTGTTGATTATACATTCGTATTAATTAAAAGAAATGATCTGAAGCACACCCACAAATTAATCAACGTGTCTGAAGACACGCCAAGCATGCACATGGTCCGAAGTTCGATCCCTGGCAACGGATGCACTCCTTTACCTCGTTAAATCAGAAAAGAGCGTAGAAAGGAAAGGTTGGACATGTGGCTAGATACCTTTCGGACAAAAGTTCGATACAAATTAAGCCAGTAAAGGATGCCAATGTAAAGTCACTCACCAAAGAAGTGGAGCAGAGGAAACACTGAGCTGAACACTTCAAAAGACTTTTAAATCGACCGCCACCTACAATGCGCCCAACAATACCAACAACGGAAGCAGAACTACCAGTGGACATCAACATCCTGACGAGAACAAAAATCCAGAAGGTAATCACGATGCTAAAAGCTGGAAAAGCAGCGGGAACAGATGGAATCTCAGCAGAAGCATTGAAAACGGACCCAGAAACAACAGCGGACTTGATGACAACCCTACTGGAGAAGGTGTGGAAGGAGGGCAAGGTAAGTGCGGATTGGAAGAAAGCATACTTATTCAAAGTGGCAAAGAAAGGAGACTTAAGTCAATACAAGAACTGGCGTGGAATTATCCTCCTGTCCATCCTAATCAAAATCCTGAGCCGTATCATCCTGGAGAGAATTAAACAAGCCCTCGATGAAAACTTCGACCGGAACAGGCTGGATTCAGGGGAACAAGTCATGTATTGATCAAATCGCCACACTACGTATCACCATTGAACAGAGCTTGGAATCGAGTGGAACTCGAAAGGGAAGCGGCGAGTCTGTTATCATTACAAGGGTGACTTGGAGGAGGTCATGTGGAGAGGAGATGAGAGCATGTGGGCAAACTTGGAGCTAGGTGAAAACTCTAGGAGAGAACCGAACGCAATAGAGACGCGCGGCTGAAGCCATATGTCCCTCTAGGAATCAAAGGAAATAATAATAAGTTTAAATAATGTGTATGGTAGTTAGTTTGAAAATTGCACCAAAAAATGATGATGACAATAATAATAAACTTACGGTGTCCAGCCTAAATCTCCTGGATTAATGTATAGGATACCAGCACGTGATACAGTCGCTGGTGTAGCTGTCTTCAAATGACTAATTTCAAATAGTAATCTCATACTATCCGTTAACGGGATACGCTCATTACTGGCTAATGTTAACACCTTATTATCATCCATAACAGTATTCAATGATTCAATCCACATTGGATCAATATCTCCGTCAAGTACAATCCATTTTGGATCTTTCCCTGTCATATTGGCTAAATCTCTCATTATAACAGAAAATAAACCTGTTATGGTAGAATAAATGTAGGAAAAGAACAAACAAAAGTATATGCCGATCAAAAACAGTAAAATTTAAAACACTAACTAGATTTGATTGGGCAATTGACAGACTTCTGCAATCTGTCAGACAGACTTTAACAACACGTATGTCGATGACATGTTCGTCATTTGTGACTGTTTCAATGAAACATCTCAAATATTAAGCGTCCTGAATAGTGTTCAACCTAATATAAAGTTTTACACTGGAGTGTTAATGTAACGACGAATTTCGTTTTTCCCGACCTTGATAACTAACATGATACAGATGGTAAAATCTTGAGGTATATCAACAGAAAAGAGATCTGGGTGTTGGTGGGGGGGGTTGATTTATCTGAACTTCAACGTCTTCTGTCATATAAACTACAAAAAAGATGGATAAGAACATTGTTTGATCGTGTAAGAAATCTTTGCTTAGAAGAAACAGTTGAGGAAGAACTTTCCATTGTGGAAAAACGCCTGGATGATAGTGGCTACCCACAGAATTTCGTCGAAAAAAATTGAAAGTGCAGCGGTGACAAAATGAATGATAGCACAGTACAGCAGAGTCCTCCTTTGTGGCTGTGAGACCTGGTCATGGAGAATGGAAGACATGAAAAGATTAGCTGTATTTCATCATAGGTGCCCGCGCTCTGTCTCCCGTGTTAAGTGGTATAGTAAGATGAGCAATATTGAGGTTAGGCGTCGAGTTCTAGGAAAGGAGGGGATATCAATCGACGAGGCTGTGAAGTTACATCGACTGAGATGGTTAGGACATGTGTTAGGTATGCTAGCCTAGTCATCGCCTTCCTCGAAAATGGGCAATGTTAGCTATTATAGGGTCAGGCTGGAAAAGAGCTATCGGTGGCCAAACAAAAACATGGAACCAGTCAATGAAATCCACAACAGTTAGTTTAAGCCAGCCAGTCACGTAGGGAGATGTAGACTTCCTGATTGGGGTCCTCTGGAAGGTAAAAATCTATGACAGCTGGCGACAATTGGTGATATGGCTCAAAATCGTTCTCAATGGCTGGCGTAGATGCATCCACTCCTTGTGACCTACAATTTCCAATGAAACTCTATTGTTCTTTGTTATTACTATTCCTTTGTCTCACACCTCTGTCTACTGTCTCTATTATGCATTTCTTCTACTTTCTTCTCTCGCTTTGTGTTACAAGGAGGGAGTGTGGCGACTTGAACTGGTGCACATATATGCAAAGTTCTATGTCGAAAACAGATAGACAGTACAGAAAGAGTCGGCATTTTGTCTACAGCTTCCCTTCAAAAGTGATGATACTTCTTGGGGAATAACATGAACACTGAATGCTGCTCTGTAAACAACATATATACACATACCAAACCTGTATGTGTTTATCAAACGACTAGTTGTTTAAGACAGTCAAAAGTGGACAGACTCCCACTGCATGTAACCGCCAACTTTCTCTACCAATTTACATGTAAACGTTCTGCAGCGCATACATTGAAAGAACATAGGGAAGGGTTATTGTCCACATATGTGAACACATACCAAAGAACCTGAGACTAATATCCTTGTAACAATAGTAGGCAAGACACGGAAGTCAAAGTATATTTTTCATTATTCAAACCTCTGTTTATGTATCTACAGCTTATATTTGTTAATCAATCACTGAGCGTGTGATTTTGGTTTACATCAAACAACATGAAACATAATGTCCAGATATACACAGTATTCTGTTGCGAATGCAGTATTTAACTGTGGGAATACGTGAGAATAATATTCTGTGAGAACAGCTTGTCTGTATAACACCAATACAAACTTACAGGCATGAAACATTGTGATCAAGAATCATCTATCTATTGAACACTGGCCAAGTTGTGGGCAATCTGATGGTGTTCAAAATAATTAACAGACAAAAAGAACCTAGCTTGCTAAGTTTTGCTGAGGCAGTCACCATTAAACGATTGAAAAGAAACCTGTAGACTCAGAAAGAAAGAGAGAGAGTGTGTGGTGAATATCACACTACGTCATCTTCTCTCCTGTTTAGAAAATTCCATTCCCTCATCCAATCTTCACTTACCCTACCCCCTCCCTTTTCTGCCCGTTTTATAAAGACATATTTTCTGTGATTACGTAACCTGTTGTTTGTTATACTTTTCCTAAGTAAACCTTGTTTCTACCTACAAAAGTCTGTTGAACTCTCTTCTTTTGTTTCCAAGCGTAGTCATCTAATCTTTCTATACACAATCAGTCCTTTTCGCTTTTAATTATTTAACAACTTACATCATTTTGGACTTGCGTTACTCTTAGTTCCTATCAATTACTCTTTGTCATCTTGGAAGAAGTATGTTCAAGTCTTTGATGTAATTTATATTTCAGGATTTCATCGTGAGGTAACATTGGTTAGAGAAGCATTGAAAAACCATCAGGGAGTACTGCACAGCTGTTTCGTTCCAGTCCTAGGGACTCTTCATCAGTACGCACCCAACATATGGGTTCGGCCACAGGGTCTTCCGGTCACGAGACGAACTCGTAAACCATTCAGCCACTGAGATCCAATCTAATTAGCAAACTTCTACCAATTCACGATATAGCGCTACCAGTAGCCATTGTTACCTGTGGCGAGTATTTGTAGTCACAGCCAACCTGCTGTACCTTGCTGTCCATGACTTCCCACTATAACTCAGGTAACTACGTACTGAAAAGTCTCTGGTTAGAATCCCAGTGGAACGGGTCGGGGTACTGATGAGGAGCCCCAAACTAGGACGAAATAGTCGTCCAACGCCCCAAAGTTTTTCAAAGATTCTCTAACCAATGTCAGCTCATGATGAGATCCTGTAATCAATCAAATCCCGGCAAAAACCAACACTTACCATCTTTCCATTCACGTGTTGCTGGATTGATAACACCGAATAACTCATCATTTGTTACTGCTTTTGGGTCTAAATCAATAGCGACAGGTTTCTGTTTTTGCAGTTTAAATGTATGCCTAAGTGTTTTCCATACTTGTGATTTACCCGTTCCAGCATTGCCAACAATAAATACAGAATGTCTAACTTCAAAAAGTTCTTGTAATTGAACAACCTAAATAGTTTGTGTGTGTGTGGAAAAAATGCAAGGTTTAAAGGCAAAGAAGAATGTGAGGATGATATGCGGAAAGGTAAATAGACATTCTAGATCAGGCTGGCTTCTTAACCTGAAGATCATAGGTCATATCCATGGTGGCGTCATAGATCTCACATTAAGACGAACCACTTGTCCAGTACACACTAGTTTTCATTGGTTCTCTAAATGACCTTGATTTATGATCGAGCTTAAAATCAATCAAGTCCTTGCAAATAGACACTTGATAATATCGAAAAATAATAACAGTATGCTTGTCAATGTAGTTGAAGATTGAACGATCAGTTCATGGTTGTTTGCTCAAACCCAACTCCTCCATATTTTTCACGGGATTCATCAATCCAGCAGTCATCGTCTCATTGTTCGCCGTTCAGTGGAAGACAGAAAACTATCAGAAATATTATCGTGACTCATTGTTATAACATTTATTCTTAGACCTTGTGTATAACAACCTTATTGTTGGTTACATATTGGTGTAAGAATGAAAGATTCTCGAGTCGCTAATCTGTGTTCTGATTTTTCGCGTTGGTTAATACAAATTGTTTCTGAAAGTCTTCCAGGGAAAGCGTGCGGTCCAGCGTAGTAACAGCTGGACACTGACAGTTTCTGAGAGTTGGTTGACAATCCTATTTGCATAATATGCATAGAGTTTGGGCCAGATGGCTTAAGCAGTCAATTCTCAACTGATGGGTATTGGGTGTAACTCCTGCTTCACCTGTGGCAGTCTAAGTAACTATGAAATATCACCTGTTTTTAGACAGTAAGCGTGGTTCATAGCCTGGTTGAAGAAAATTGACTTCTGATTAATTAACTAATTATAGAATGCTGGTCAACCACACAGTTGATCCGGGTTCGATTCCTGACTGACACACTCTCAATGCTTGCTCAGTTAGTAATAAGCCTCATAAAGACGTAGGGATAACAAACTCACTTATGAAATAAATAGCGTAACCACTACTGAAAATCTAGTGCTCCATCTTGAAGCTTTATGTTTCATTCGGAAATATGAAGGAATGTAAAAGGCAAATAAGTGTGATGTGTACTACTTATAATAATGAAAATAAGTAATAAATACTGTGATAGTATCTGACAAATAAATGAGATTCAATTCAGGACTGTAAAGGCGGGTGCTACAATAGACATATTAGGAACCAAAAGGGTGCGAAATCCAAAAGACAAAAGAGGAAGTACAATCAATGTGTCTGGAATACAGAATGCGCGTATTGTTTGCACGAAGTATGCACGAAGTTTTGTGTTTTTCAAAGTGTATTTACAGAAATGTAACATTATCCCCCTAAGTTCTGACTGAAACATAGGGCTTTAGTAGCACATTCCCATTCTATCCTATTCTTTTCAAACCTCTTTAGCTAATCCCCTGATTAGTATACAATTGGTGGATGGTGGCTAGCAGTGGAATCCAGGATGCGCATTTCGTCCTATTTGGGACTTGCCACAGCTGGATGTACCTGCATTTCTCAGTGAGTGATGATGTTCCCAACGAGGCTCGAACCCAGTACCCATAGTTGGAGGCAAACGAAGAACGGCTATGTTCACCACCAGTGACACAGCTGATAATTCTTTGGCGATTAGAAAGATTGTTGTTGGGTATGACTCTCAGTCGGGTGATGATCAACTACATCCAGTCGACGAGTCCCTCAGCAGGACGAAATACGCTAACAATCATCAATCCAATAGTAAATGACATTCGTCAGTAGAAAAGAATGGCATTGTAAAGCGAAGCTTTTACTTAAACTAACCTTCAAGATAAATGAATCCTCTGGTTGTAAGCCTAAATCTTCAGTAGCTGCTTTTACATTTGCTTCAAAATTTAAATCACGTTTACGCGATGCATCTAAATTTGGAAACAGGTCAGATATAAGACCTAAAAATACAGCCATATCTTCAGTGACTAATTTAGGTATGTTGAAATCTCGTAGAGCACGCATTAACACGGAATCTTCAGTGTGTTCAGGATTACCACGTTTCAATGCACCAGCTACAACCAACACTGATTTAATAGCTCTTAAACCCCAATCATAATGATCTTGTTTCGAAAGTAATTCTTTGCATAATTCATATAGTGTAATAAATTTACGCGCCAATATAGTTGCCTCTAGAAATCCTTGAGCTACAAGCATAATTTCACAAATCAATTCAAAATCTGGCACTACCATAGCACATGGTCTAAAGATGAAAATAAAATTGTAAGAATGAGGGACAATTTTTAAAAATTAAAACAATAGGCAAGCAAGTTAAATCATGAGCTGAAATCAGAGTTACAGAAACATCAAAAAACTAGAGTAGAGTGAAGAGCTGTTTCGTCATGATCTAGGACTCTTCAACAGTACTTCTAGAGACTGAAACCGAGTTGTGAGGCGAGGTTGCTAATCATTTAGACACCCAACGGGGTGGGAGAGGAGAATTTAGTGTCCCATGCATACTACTGAAGAGTTTTGGTCTTGGAAGGAACAGCTATTCAGTGCTTCCCAGGTTTTTAGTGGCTCTCAGACTGACGTCAGGTGGTGGTATAATTCGAAACAACGAAAATGCCTGTAAACTAGATTGTGTCATCACACTAATCTCTCGACTACACAGTTTAAACTTGCTAGGACTATGGTGAGTACTAATCACAGTTTCACTTTTTATATCCATGCGTAATTTACAATTTTCTGAATAAAATAGGAAACTGTTGTTATTGATTGGTCTTGTGAAGAGTCATCACATCAAAATACGCATTATAGAGATATAAGGATAAGTTATTGAGAAGACGTTGATTTATTTGTTGGTGAAATGAAGGTTAATTGAACCTTCTCATAATTCTCTGGTCATTCTGAAATTATACCACTTTATAAGTGGTTCCTCATGTCATTCTCTGAGTTGAATTGTTTTTTTTTAATTTTTATGGAATCTGTTGGTCATGGTCACACTTGGCATCATCAAGCATCTTATTGAAAACCCTCTAATATTAGAAATTTAATAATTGTCAAAGGAATGGATACTGAACAAAGATACTCTTTTCGATAACCTCTTCGTCATCAGCTCTACAGTTATGCCTACATTATACTGAATGAATGAATTAGTGTTATGAACAACAATAATGTTGTTTAAATAACATCGAATCAATAATATTGATCGATTACTGCTCAGATGGAAGAATGAAATGAATGCTATCCTTCGACGTGACAGCATTATATACCTCAATCGGACAAAACCTAGCAAAAGAAACCATGGAGCAATTACTTAGCGACGACGAACAACTTCCACAACAATCAAAAATGCAACACACAAGCTGGATGGAATGCATAAACCTATGCCTAACAACATACTTCCAATTCAACGGCCAAATATATGAACAAGTCAAAGGAACACCCATGGGATCGCCAATATCAGGTTTGATTGCAGAAGCAGTGATGCAAAGACTCGAAAATATAATTCTACCAAAGATCAAACCCAAGATTTGGATACGCTACGTCGACGACACATTTGTAATAATCAAAAGAAACGAGTTAGATAAAACTCACAACTTAATAAACAACGTCTTCAACGACATCAAATTCACAAGAGAAGAGGAATCCGAGAACAAAATACCATTTTTGGACGTCTTAGTCAAGCGAACAACCACAGGGGAATTAGAAACTCAAGTTTATAGGAAATCAACTCACCCAGACCAAATCCTGAATTACAATAGCAACAACCCAATAACACACGAAAGGAATTGCATACAAACACTGTTCAAGAGAGCAAGGACTCATTGCAGCACTACCGCCTTAAGGAAAATTGAAGAAAAGTATCTCATGGACGTCTTCCAAAAGAATGGATATCCACGGAATTTCATCAAGAGACATATACCCCCAAGCCAACCTACCAAAGCAAAAGCCACCAAGGAAAGCACAAAGAAAATCGCCTTACCATATATAAAGGATATCTCAGAAATCACTACAAGACTCTTCAGACCTTTAGGAATTGACGTTGTACACAAACCAACAAAGTCGCTTCACTCAATTTTATGTCAACCAAAAGATGTCACCCAGTAGGTGAAAGCTTCGCAAATTAACCATCCAGCTCAGAGAACAAAACCACATCAAAAAGAGTATTCTTTGTTCAGTATCCGTTTTTTGAAAATTTTAATGGGCATTTTTAGTCAATTTAATAATTGCTTCAACAATACACAGTGTAGTGTCTCAAATCTTTATCAACCTCATTCAACAGATATATGACAGTAACACGTGTTAGGTGGTCCACAACACAAAACTCAGTGAAGCGTGTAGAGTGAATGCTGGGATAAGACAAGGGTGTGGCTGTCGACTATCATCCCTCATTGTCGTCGACATCAGACTATGGGAAGTGAGGAAGAAGAAGAAGAAGACTCTAGATGTTCCAAACTTCGCGAATGATTTACGTCGGTTGTCACTTAAATCATAAGACGTACAGGCGAAGACCGAAAAACCGGAAAAAGAACCAGGTGGCGAATACAGTACTTCAAGCGGACATGGAGAAAACGGACAGTGGTGATGAAGATAACTAACCAACCAGCCAACAACATTAAACACCAACTACTATCAATGTTAAACCAGTCAGTCACTTCACCTACACTGGTCAGAAACTTACACTGCGCTTCAATAAAGTCATTTCAAACAGCAAGCTGTAAACTTTTACCAACACCTACCTTCCTATGGCTGCATTCTGTAGATCAGATAGCCAGGTGGCCAGAAAGAACTAGCAGGAAGAAGAAACTTTCAGAGCGAACCAACCAAGAACTTATCGCCCAATAAATATGTTGGAGGAAATGGAGATAGATAGGAGACCACGCTGAGAAAACCGCCGAATGATATAGCATCCCAGTTGACCGTTCAAGTGGAACCCGAATGCGAAACAAAGAGTTGAGTGTAGGTCCGAGGGTGATATGGAACAGATGAAAGTTTATAAGCAACCATAGAGTCAACTAGAAGAGACTATATAGAATGGGACAAAAATGGAGATGTAGTGTTGAAGAAGCCCTATGTACTACCCGAAGTGCAAAGAAAATGTGGCAAAATATGCAAGAGGCAAGTAATTACAAGAGTTACATGATAAAATCAAATCAGATATTAGGTGTCAAATACCTAAACAATGCCTTTAAATTCTCAGGCAGTTCTGTTCGACCAGCATAACCTGGATTCATTGTAATGAAAAGACCAACAGCTGGATCAAGTGGTATTACTTCACCAAGAAAATTGAATTTCTCCTTCTTCAACCGGATTGCATCTTGAATACATTTCACCTAGACACATAGAATTCGAATAGAGAAAGTAAAAGAAGAAGGAATTATAGGAGGAAAAAAAACTTAAGCAGAAACATGGCATATACTACTGAATTACACAGACAGAAATCAATAACACAAATCAATAATTGACAACACTATGCAATAGCAGCCAATGATAACCTCGACCATACACAACCAATCAACTCAGCTACCAAAATGGCATCATGGCACCACTGAGCACATGAACAGTTATTGGTTAGTATTAGGAAGAATTCATTTCAAATAATCGGAGTTAATTTCAAACAGTTCATAATATTTTATACATCTAAGTCAACTGTGTACATGGTAGGGAGTTATATTCTTGGCCGATGAACTACCAAATCTCGTCTAGCCAACATTAAGACAGGAAATGCTACTGAAGCTTCAAAACTCAAGCTCGAAGATGTATGTTCCCTTCAGAAATCAAAAGGGATAAAAGGAAACACAATCTCAGGTGCCTTTGATCTATTTTAAGACACACACTAAGAAATCTGAAATAATGTGAACAGTTTGCAGAACAACACCATCAATAAGGTAATACTTAAGACTTGCTATGAAAATCCTTGTTTCTGACTTTCTATTGGTTATCAAAGTATGTCATATCAAATGATGATACAAATATATGTATATGGTAAAAGTACTCGACCCTGCAGTCCTTGAAACAGTCAAGCGAAATTGAATTTTGGGCGTGAGGACAAATATTCACTGATAACATTGGCTGATGGTGGTGCTTTATGTCGTGAACTGGAAGAAGTTAGAATTCATGGATCATTCGATCGGGTCCCATTGGCTGAATCGTCACTGGGCTCACACCGTAACTTCATTTTTTATTTTTATCTTATTCTTGATTACAGCTTGATTCCACACCGTATTTATGGTACAAGTATGGAATTTTCAGCGTGGATATCGGAAGCCCAAATTTCGCAGGACGACCATAGATATCAGGTGTGCGTTGGCGTGGGCTCGAACCCCGGACCATGTGCACGGTCAGCGAGAGTCCTAACCACTGTGCCACTGACGCACAGTTTTGGGTTCCCTTTGTTGTAATAATGGATAGGTACTGATGAGGAGTCTCAAACAAGAACGAAACAGCGGTCCAGTACTCCCTGGTTTTCGATGGTTCTCTAACTGCGATCATAAAGTGATCTAACTTCCAAATCAAAATTGGTACATTACCGTTTTTAGAAGAAACTTAATTCGAAGTAGTGTTGAAAGCTTGGATCTTGTTCTTTATGCTGAATGCAAAAGATTTCCAAACTGACTTTGAAGTGATGAAAGTCTATCTCCTCTTTACAATTCGGGTATTGAAATCCCTATCTATGCTGGCCGGCTGTCGTTGAAAAGATGCTTCCTGGATGCATAACTGAAGTAAGTGATCTCCCTCAAATCTATTGCGTTGATGTTAATGTTGCTTGTTGTGGTTGTTGCTAGTTGGTTATTTTCATCACCCCCGTCCGTTTTCTCTATGTTCACCTATAGTCCTATCTTATCTGCCGGCTTCTCCATCCGGTTTGTTAGTTTTCGCCTATAGATCTTTGAGTTTGTCTGACATGAGACATAAATCATCCACCTAGAAATCCACTGGATCTTCTGGCATCTTCTTATAGCCGAATATATTCGTGTCTTCTCACTTCCAATGCACAGTCTGACAAATAACCCAGTCAGTTAGATCGTTTATTTGAAGTATCCATTAATTCTGACGACAAAGTCTAGTTTCAGAAAATTAAACTAGGGGCCAATAAATTACGAAGCAATGTAACCAGTACCCAAATATTCTTTAATTTCACAGAGGACAACTCAATAAAATAACTAACTAATCTATTGCTCATTATTAGGAAGTCATGAGCATTGGGTTCCATTAAGTTCCTTGTGAGGATAAACACTCACTGATGACACTAGCTGGCACTTGCACTAATAGTAATAATACTAATAATTTTCTTTATTCCAAATCAGCGCTAATGATTCCTTCCAAGTGTCTAGATAATCAACGAGCTTGTCCTTTAACCTGGAGGTTGTGTCTCTCATGGGGTGATGAATATATGCCTCTGAAGAGTCCCTGTCTAGAACGAAACAACTGTCCAGTAATCCCTGGTGGCTATTCAGCTGTTCTCTAACTTATGTCACTTCATAATCAAACCTCTAATCTAACAAATCCCTGCTAATCAACACTTCATAGTTAAAGGGAAAAGAACAAGAAGTTCAGCAAAGTCGGCGATTTGCTCGGAGATTTCATTCTCAAAAGCAGCTGTACAATCGCATTTATATACATTAGTTTACATAGATACAATTGTTATTTATTTACTTAATTCCACATAGTAACGAAGTTGATAATAATTTTCAACTTGATATGAAAGTTTGAAGGTACGTATATAAATTCTCTAGCCGTCCACTACTTCGGAGCAACGGGGAGGACAGACTTCCGCATATAACCACTTCATTGTGCATATATCACCTCACCTGCTCCTGCGGAGCTAGGTACATAGGTCGTTCTATGCAGGTCTTATCAAAACGTGTTAGAGAACATCATCCAGCATGGCTGCAAAGAGGAGGAGGCACTGGTTCAATCAGAAACGCAATAACTGAACACCTACCTCGTCAATACCTGTCACAGAATCTCAACTGACTCACCATTTAGAGTCATTTATAAAGTAAACAAAAATCTACCAAAGGCAACATGTTTCCGACTTCTTTGCACTGCGGAAGCTCTCGCCATATGCATCGAAAAGCTGGAGCTGTGTTCAAAAGAAACTAGTCCAGCCTTTACAACTACCATGGACCTAGTTCGGTATGTTCCCTTATCCTTCAGTTTTCGTCGTTGTTTTTTTCTGTGTGTGATTCTCCCTCTTTGCCTTCATTCAATTCATCCTACTTTTTCAGTTATAAAATTAGTTAAGTTTGTTTCAGTGCTCCTCCTGATCACACTTGTGATCCGTTCACAATAACCATTTTACAATTATATTCTAATCCTGTGTAATTTTTGTTTCTATGCCTCTTGTAATCTATATTCACACCTCCTAACTTACATTTCAAGTTGGAAAATTTGATTTCAGTTTGTTTCCATGCTCAGTTTGTTCACACCTGTAATTCGTTCTATCTCTGCGTAACATTTGTTTCTAAGCCTCTTGTAATTCATATCAAGTTGAAAATTATTATCAACTTCGCTACTATATAAAGTTAAGTAAACAATAATTGTATCCATGTACACTAATGTATATAAATGTGATTGTACAGCTGCTTTTGAGAATGAAATCTTTGCTGAACTTCTTGTTCTTTTCTCTCTAATGTCCCAATGGGTATTTTCCACGACATTATCGTTTCATAAATCATTGTTAGCGGGTGTCTAATTTTAAATCTTAATCATGTTATTTGTGTGTCGTGGCACAGCGGTTAGGACTCTCGCCGACCATGCTACATGGGCTACCAACATCACATGCTTAAAAACTCCATACTTGTACCAAAAACTACGATGTGGAATAAAGCTGTAATCAAAAAATATTAAATAATTATAAAACTTACTGCTCAAACAAGTGGGAAAAAATATATCTATATATATCCACTTACTTGTACAGCGACAACAGATAAAACTTCCACTGCTATCCGATTGAATTCATCAAAACATCCCCATGCACCAGTCTGTGCTAATCCCTTGTAAATATTACCAATTGACTTGTAATCCATTTGTTCAGAACAATTGAACACATAGACCATAATGCCTAGTGCACGGCCTAAATCTTTTGTTGTCTCTGTTTTCCCTGTGCCAGCTGGTCCAGCAGGTGCACCACTCATACATAAATGCAGTGATTGTGTCAGTGTGATATAACATCGATCAGTTAACGGTGTAATGACCAGCCTTGGTGTATTGCCTAAATATTCATAAGCATAACGAAATTGTGCATCACAGATATTAGCAAAACAATCGTGTGATTTATCATCCCATCTATGTCTCAACTGGGATAACCATGTGAAAGCTAGTGAACTTTCAACTTTTTGTGATATCAACTTTCCGACAACATCACGATTATGTACATCAATAGTGCATAAAGTCATAATTTTTTGTCGATCACCAGCTGACAGATCAATTAATAGCATTTGTATTAATGTACTCAGTTGGGCAATTTGTTTTCTATTATACTCTTTCATTGCATTCTCTAAGCCTTCTTCTAGTCGAGCAAATGCAATCAACACTTCACTATTCCAACCGATTTGTGAACCGGTTAAAGCTATCTGCGCCGGATAGTCAAATATCCATTGATCTCTTGGTTTCTCTTCATAAGCACTGACTGCATCTGCAAGAATGTGACGCAGAGTGTTGCGCATTTCATCTAACAGTTTATTTAACCATTCTTCAACTTGACCTTGCAAATCAAATGATTTTGTGAATTTCACTACTTCACTATCCTAGAGAGAGGGAAAAGAATGAAAGGGAAGGCGTAAAATGATGATAAGAAGATAAAGGTGGGCGGGTGAAAAATAAAATTATTACAGATCATTTTTGACGGGGACCACTATCATTATTGTTATTATTCTCTCTTGGTACCTAGTGGAGCATATGGCTTCTAAAATCCGGTTCAGCTGGGTCCACAATTACCCATAATCTCGCATCTCTTTCTCCCCCGGACGATCTCCTCCATGTCTTTTTTTTGCTTTATTCCAGAAACAGTACTAGTGGCGCACTGTGCCATATTCAGCACATATCTACAAATATTGCATCTAATTTTATCAAACATTTAAAAGGAGTATTTCAAAAAAAAATAAATATAAAGACAACAACAACAAAAAGAAACAAAAAACAGAAAAAAAATACAAGATGTGAAAAATACCAAAAAAATAGAAAGGAAAATAAACAACATAATAAATAATATTTCAGTATTGGGTAGTGGAAGGTATGATATATTTATGCTTGGTGACAGAAGTTATGAAATGATATTTAAGAATGTTTATCGCCATGATGATCAGTCAATTTGATTGAACAACACTAAACAATCACAAAATAACATTTCAGGGTTGTCTTTTATTGTCAGCTCTAATCCGGTATTTGTTGTGGTATTGTGAGTAATCCTGCATAATACAAAATTTTAAGATGGTAATAACGGCGTTCACAACCAAGATTGTCAGTTCAATATTGCCGAACAAAAAAACCATTAACAAAACTAATATTACATGAACATCGAATGACCTTGGCGGCCTGTTTGAATATTTTTGGGCTACCACATTCCATGTACATTTTGCATCTATTTACTCGTATTTTATTGGTATTTACATATCACATTATGCATTCTAATCGTATTATCTACCCTCGGGATTTTATAAAACGTTTTAAACCCAAAAACTTTCATATTTGCAATAAACTCAAGAAAAAGCACCATGGAGGTTGGCAGCGTGCCTTAAAGTCTACACCCATACATCACACCACTGTTCCAGTTATCATTAGTACCAACTGCCGGTCCCTGCCTAACAAAATTCTGGATTTTCAGTCTCTGTTGTCTTCTAGTACCTACCACAATACTGGTATAGTCACTCTGCAAGAAACCTGGCTCCATGACTCATACGATGACAATATTGTGTCTCTAAACAATTTCAATGTTTTTCGACAAGACCGTATTTGTTCCAAGAAAAAGTGTGGTGGAGGTGTTGCAACTTTTATTCACTTAAAATGGTCCATTTCAAACAAAGTTTGTTTCAAATTCTCGAATGACTTCATTGACTGCATCACTGTGAGATGTCGCCCGAAACACATTTCAAAATACAAATTCATTTATATTTCTAATGTTTATGTCTCTCCTGGCTGTACCATATTGGATTTATCTATGTTCGCCGATGAATTCACCGCTTTTGCTGCAGCTTGCTTCGAGAACTCTTTATCAATAGTAACAGGTGATTTTAATTCATGCAATCACTCCTTCCTTATATCACTTGGTCATGACAATATTGTCAACTTTGCCACCCGTCTTGGTAAAAAATTGGACCTGGTATTTATCAATGATGTTGGTATATATGAAGCTCGCAAACGTGCTCCTCTACTTAATTCTGACCACTGCATCATACGTGTGCTGCCTAAAATATATTCCAAATCACACAAAGGTGTCCTCTCTCACCTCTGCAGTAAAGTTCAACGGAGATGCTACTCAAAAGACAACCTAGACAAGCTCAGATGCATGTTGAAAGACACTAACTGGGACTTATTTACAGAACAAACATTAGATGAAACAATCACAAACACTACCGATTATCTTAAATTCTGTTTCGAAATATGTTGTCCTAAAGAAACATTATTCATCCGATTTGATCGCTTATCTTCGCCATATCTCAAAAAGCTACGTAGAAATAAAGAACTGTTGTTCAAAACAAATGATAAGCCTGGTGTAAAAAAGTTAAACATGCTGATAAAACTGGAAATAAAAAGACTAAGTGTTTTATATAATCAAAGATTTTTGTCATGTAAAACCCCTTCTAATTTATGGAAACTTTTCAAAGAAATTACTAACGGTAAGCGATGTATTTCTGTTCCATCTCTTAATGTTGACACTCTTAATAAATCTTTCATACGCTCTTCTGTTGATACCCTTCCAAATGATACAAATCATATTGACAATAACTTTAGTGGTTTTAATACCCTTGATGTGCTTAAATGTCTCCGGTCTCTTAAGCCTTCTCAAAGCCTTGGTCCTGACGGCATACCTGCCATTGTCCTCAGGAATTGTGCTGATATTTTGTGTTATCCTCTTACTAACATTTTTAATGCCTCTTTTTCCGGTAACGTTCTACCTTTTGCATGGAAAAACATTAAAATTATCCCTATACCAAAACCATCTTCTGGTTCTGATATTAAATTTCGGCCTATTGCAATTACTTCCCCCTTTTTAAAATTGATGGAAAAATTACTTTTACTTCGTCTTGAACCCGCTTTGAAACCTTTTAATGATCCTAAACAATTTGCATACAAACATGGTAGAAGTACCTTGGATGCTGCGGTTGTCTTGTATCACAATGTTGTCTCTTGTTTAGACAAAGGTGCTAAATATGTTCGTAGTGCTTTCTTAGACTACACATCTGCTTTTGACTCTGTACCTAGGGGCCTTTTATTAAATAAGCTATCGTTGACACAAACAGGATCCTGGGCTAAGAGTTGGTTGCATTCCTATTTTTCTGATAGAATGCAGTATACTGTATATAACGGCAAATCTTCTTCTACCTCGCTTACAAAATCCGGTGTTCCACAAGGTGCTGTCCTCTCTCCTTTTCTTTTTTCTTTCTTCCTACATGACCTACCTCATTCAAACGAAACTAACTTTGTCAAATATGCAGATGATCTGACTGTATCACTGCCTATCACTTCCGAGTCTGACAGCTCCAAACTTAATAGCTTTCTGTTGGACATCAACAACTGGTCCAAGTCAAATGGTCTTATATTAAATCCTTCCAAATGTCAGGTGCTTGACTTTACTTTCAAGCATCGACGTGACTTACTTGAACTAGTTAACTCTCATGATCCCTGTAGCATAGATGGCACGGAAATTGAAACCAAATCAAGTATTAAATACCTTGGACTAGTTTTTTCCTCTGACCTTTCATGGTCATCCCATATCTTATCTATCTCTAAGAAAATGTTTCGTCTTACCTTCTACATTAAAAAGTTAAGACAATCAGGTATCAACCAACCTTTAGTTTTGCAATTTTTAAACTCCTGTATTTTACCTATTGTACTCTACTGCTCTCCATTAATCTTTCCTGGGCTTCTCAAAAAAGATTATATCATATTACGAAGAGTATTAAATGCTGTGAGTAGAGCTTGTGGTCTGCCACTGCATGAGCTCGCTAATACTATAGTCGAGAGGCATATAAATTCCTGTACGAAATGGGCAAAGGCTATAATGTCAGACCCTCTGCACCCCCTTTATTCACACCTGTCCCCTTGTATCTCATCAGGTAGGACGAGAAGTCAATATAAAAAGATATATGCTCGTACTACTAAGTATAGAAATTCTACAATACCCTATTTAGCCCGTACTTTATGTGACGAAGACTCTGTTAGACGTGAAACTTACAAGTTACTATGTAATTAGTACAGTGAATCGACCCTTTTATCGCTCATCTTTCTGTATTTTATGGTGTTACACTTTCTATCGTTTAAATCGTTACTCTGCTATTTTATATTAGTTGATATTACTATTATTACTACAATTTTGTACTTTATACATATTTTTCTCCGTATGGCACACAGTATTTTGCTACGTAGCTGCTACAACAATCGTTTTATTACTATTATGTATTGTGTATTTTTAATTTTTTTTGTCGTTTTTGGGTAAATTAGATGCAATATTGTACTGAATGCTGAAAATTCCTTGCTGTATCATGAGTACTGTTTTTGGAATAAAGCAATTATTATTATTATTATTATTATTATTATTATGGTTAGTGACAGGACAATTTTGTAATACTCATAGTGATAATATAGTCGGGACCAGTAGATACACAAAAGAAGGAATAGAATAAAGTACAAAAAGGTAAGCCGATGCTAATAATTTAGGTAGCTAAGTATGTTTAAGAAGGTGTTCACTATAGAATACAAATAAGAGAGAAATAAAAGAGCCTGAAACTATGTTATTAACATCAAAGCAAATTATAGGCTTCGCGCTTAACATTCTCTCTGTCACTTAGAACACGGATCAAACATGGTATCGTTGAGTTCCTGTACCCGGTTGTACAAGCATATATTATTTTGTACTGATTTCTAGTTCTACATGATGAGATACAATGAGAGAGTTGGGAATACAGGGGGTGCTGGGGGTCGGAGAGTATGGTGGTTTTAGACCATTTTTCGCATATATTCAGATAACTTTCTACTAATGTAGTGACGAGATAACTGAGTTTTACACCACTAGTCCTACTAACTACCGTCAACATCCTTCTCAGGATGCTATAGTCCTTTTTCAGTAGCCTAGGAAAGAACAACGAGAAGCGGTAAAGTAGAATAGGTAAGATACGAGAGTTGACAAATTGTGAAAGTAGAGTTTGGGTGATTCCAGATAGTCTAAGTTTCTTAATGTAGTAGGCTAGATGGGACACTTTGTTAGAAATCGTTAAGATATGAGATGACCAAGTAAGGTCGGAAGATAGAACTAGACCGAGGTATTTTGCATTAGACTTAGTTTCAATTTTAGTCCCCTCAATGCGACAGGCTTCATGAGTACTTACTAGTGTTCGCAGATCTCGTTTATGCCTAAAGGAAAAGCCAAATAGTCTGGCATTTTGAGGGATTCAGCATGAGGCCATTTAGTTTGGACCACTGACTGATGCCTGACAGGAAGCTATTTAATTTGAAACAGTCTGACTGAGACTTAACGGGAAGCGAAACAGTCAGGTTATCTGTATATTTTACGAAGTTGATTTCGTCTGAA